CGAAACACATAACAGGCTGTCCGCTGACCGGTTACCAGCCCTATCTCGCTCATATCGTAATTATCTTGTAAACTTATTAATTGGACTGGTTATTGCACCCATTAGCGTCTGCAAGCACACGTGTGCACAGCAATCGATCCTTCCGAACGGATCACGGCAGGGAACACACACATAGGCAAAAGTATATTTTTCCCGGCTGCCAAATACCTGCTTAATGATACATGATTCGCTTAATGGAACTGCCTACTAATAGCAGTGAAACCGGGCTTGTTGTTTGCAGCGAGCGCCATAAAACGGTCACGGATGATCGTAAATGTCAATTGGTGCCGTTGTCTGTCTGTCCATCATTGGTATCGTGAGCACCTGCACCAGGGAGGTACGCCGCGCCGCGCCGCTGACCCTGCAGAGTCCTCTCACCACCCACCGACCCACCCTGCAGGGCCTTTCCTTCACGAGCGAACCTGGAGGGTCCTCTCATCACCGACCGACCCTCCAGGGTCCTCTCCAACACCACCGACCCTGCAGGATCCTCTCACCACCGACCGACCCTAAAGGGTTGGTCTGGCCACCGACCCACCCTGCAGGGTCCTCTCACCACCCACCGACCCACCCTGCAGGGTCCTCCACCACCCACCGACCCACCCTGCAGGGTCCTCCGCCACCACCGACCCTGCAGGGTCCTCTCCACCACCGAGCGAGCCTGGAGGGCCCTTCACCACCAGCCGACCCTGCACGGTCCTCCCCATTAGCGAGCCGGGCCACTGAACCAACATAGGATCCTCACCGCTGGACTTGGAGGGTCCTCAGTGTGCCACCAGCCGACCCTAAAGGGGCCTCTCACCACTGAGCAGCCCTAGAGGATCCTCTCGTCCACCGGCCGGGCCTGGAGGGATCTCCCTGCACCACTGAGCAGCCCTGGAGGGTCCTCTCTGTACCACAGACCGACCCTAAAGGAGCCTCCCACCACTGAGCAGCCCTGGAGGGTCCTCTCTGTACCACAGACCGACCCTAAAGGGGCCTCCCACCACTGAGTAGCCCTGGAGGGTCCTCTCTGTACCACAGACCGACCCTAAAGGGGCCTCCCACCACTGAGCAGCCCTGGAGGGTCCTCTCTGTATGTACCACCGGTCGAGCGAGGTCGACGATAGTGATGGCGCGGTTTCCTCCGGCACGGCGCGAACGACATCACTCGACACCTGAACGCCGGAACGGGACAGATACTGGAGAGAGCAGCCAACAGGGAGAGCAGATGTCGGAGTGGTAGAGAACAGATGTCGAGGGGAACATGGGATAGCGTGGGGTCGAGAGGATGATAGCATGGTGTCGGTTTATCTATACCTACTGGGTGCTATAACAGAAGAGATATTAGGGAGTTACCAGCATAGGCGGCGGAACGATTTGAGACAAGGGGGGGGGGGGCACCAGCTCAAGGAGCCAAACCTAGGGTACCCCCAAATCCTGTTTTCTCGTCGGATTTAGGCCACTTATTTTTCGTCACAGCCCTGACACGATGATTTTTTTTTTTACTAAACGAAAAAGGCAGTTCACCCCCATAGTGTGGTTAACTTTAAGCTGATCCTCAAGTACCTATGTGTTTGTCTCATTTCGTTTGATAGATTCCATTTATCCTACATGTATCAAATTCCCAAGAAGCCATCGCAGTACTAATCAGTGGCGAATCCCAGGGGGAGGTCACATGGGTCATGAATTAGGGCCTGGGGTCACCACATGCCTGCCAGGAGCACCACAGGCCTGGCAGCTGACAGGGGCATCACAAGCCCGCCAGGGGTACCATCGGCCTAACAGGGGCACCACGGACCTGTCAGTGGCACCACAGGCCTGTCAGGAGCACCATCGGCCTAGCAAAAGCACTACAGGTCTTCCAGGGGCACCACAGACCTGCCAGGGGCACAAGAGGCCTGCCAGGGGCACTATCGGCTTCGCAGGGGAACCACCGGCCTCGCAAGGGCACCGTGGGCCTGTCAAGGGCACCACAAGCCTGTCGTTGGCACTTTAGATTGTCAGGGGCACCACAAACCTGTCAAGGGCACCTGCGTTCTAACAGGGGTCCACAGGCTCGCCAGGGGTACCACAGACCTGCCAAGGCCCAGGGACACCACAGGTCTCTGGCCTAGCAAGGACACCACAGGCCTGTCAGGGGCACCACGGGCCTGTCAGGGCCCATGGGCACCTAAGTCATGTCAGGGCCAACCGTAGGCTTGTCAGGGGGCAGGGTAGGTAGGTACCACAGTCTTTCCAGGGGCACCAGTCATCACATGACTAACCAAAAATAAAGAAAATAAAAAACTGAAAATAGGGCACCACCAAAATTAAGTGGCCGAAATCCGTTGAGGTTTTAATTTTGGGTATAGGTAGGGGCACCACTTCGATTCATGACCCTCCCTTGGAGTTTTCCCGAATCCGCCCCTGGTACTAATGCATCAAATTTAAGGGGGGCACCTTGCTATTGGTACCCCCCTTGCAGAATTCAAGGGGGCACGGTGCCCCGGTGCCCCCCCCCCGTTCCGCCGCCTATGGTTACCAGCTAATATTTGCAGAAGCAATAAGTCATTTTTACGTGCGCTGAAATGTTTAATCAAGTAAACATAATAGAACCTACAGGGTCTTTCATAATGAATGCTATTTTAAAAACAGCCATAGCTCAGGTGATATGCATCACAAAGTTATTGTCAATACCCGAATGGAAAAACAGATAATGGGTAACTATGTACACATGACTCGCATTTAGGTACCCTTCACCGATTTTTAACTGTGTCGCCTCGCTTTCGGACACAGATTTCGGCCCGCTCTGACGTGTATGTTAATATATCAGAGAAACTCTGGAGTTATTTGTTTCCTCTCCCTGAAAAATTAGGTCAGCCAATATATTACAGTTTCAATGTTGAGCTTGTTACTTCTTTCGCAAACCAAGTTAGGGGAAAGGGAAAACAACATGTGCATTGTTTCTTCACAATCATACGCCTACATGGATTTAGTTTGAAAAGATGAAATACCTCATAGGTTAGGTAGGTTAATACATTAGTAACATTATTAGAATCATGATCAAGTTATGATACTTTAAAGAAAAACTTTTTCGAATATATGTAACGGCACGATAGGCATGCATTGCATATTACTAAATGACATAATTCATGAAGTGATTATCAACTTATATGATATGGACCATTGGTAGCATCTGATGCAAACGTTCACTCGTACAATACGAGAAGCAAGAACGCGGGTCTTCGGAGACGCTGCAGCGAGTTGACAAATGTCTGACTGGTATGAGTAAGTGAAACAATGGCGAGTTAACCCGTCAGACCACTGAACAAAGAGCACTCGATCGAAACATGTCGACGGCAAACACGCGGGCTGGGGCTAAACGGACTGTGTTGACAAATGCCGCGGCCAGGCCCCGGTGGGGACGGCTCGCAGGCTGACACACGGTCGAGCCGTGTTTGCTTCGCCTCGGACTCCTCTCCTGTTCACTGAATCAGAAGATAAGGAATGTCGACGTGACAGAACTATAATTTAATCCATGTTGCTACCATACCTACAGAGCATATCCTTCCCTATCCACCCCATCATATCGTGTCACCTGTTGGCCATTTACAATTTTATCGTAGCGCGGAGCGCCTGTCTCGGTCCAGAAATACTTACAGAAATACGCGAACGCATAAGGTGTATCACCCAAAAATTGGCTTAAAATTACTTTGCACCAAATTATAAATACCTCAGGAATTTTACATTGCAAATACCTCGAACTATGCTTGTAAATGTTTTGTTTGAGCTGGATCAAAATATCTTGTTCCACACAAGCAGCCTGTGACGGAACTATAGTCCCGTCCGCTCCTATCGGAGCGGCGCTGCTGCTGTGAGACGGCCGTGGTCCCGCTGCTGATGTGAGACGGCTGTGGTCCCGCTGCTGATGTGAGACGGCTGTGGTCCCGCGGCTGATGTGAGACGGCTGTGGTCCCGCTGCTGATGTGAGACGGCTGTGGTCCCGCGGCTGATGGGAGACGGCTGTGGTCCCGCTGCTGATGTGAGACGGCTGTGGTCCCGCGGCTGATGGGAGACGGCTGTGGTCCCGCTGCTGATGTGAGACGGCTGTGGTCCGCGCTGCTGCTGTGAGACGGCCGTGGTCCCGCGGCTGATGTGAGACGCCGTGGTCCCGGTCGGCCAAATCGGCCCGGACCGGCCCGGGCGGCGCACCGAGCGGCGCCGGCGCAGGACGGCCACAGGTATACGGCCGACGCTCTCTGCGTGCAGGCGGCAGTCGGTATCGATGTGTACAACACATACAGGAGGCAAACGTCGACCGATCCCGGCACGAGCCGTGCGCAGCGGAGCTCCGGGCAGCCGGCGAGCGGGCGCGGCCGGGCAGAGCCGATTCCGGCGATCAGCTCGCTCAGCCGACGAGTTCGGCTCCAGACTCAATCAGGGCCGGCCAGCCAATTCTCGGACCGAACGGTTCCAAAAATCGGCGCGACTTTGACATGAAGATCACTCATTAGTGGAACCGCAGAAGCCAAGAAGTGACGATGAACTTCGTTTCGAGGTTAAACCCTTGAACCTGGCTGATTTGCCGGGCGCGTTGTTTGAAGAAAGCGTACACCCAGAACCGCTGCGGAGCGCACGTCAAAGTTTTCGATGGCAGACTTTGAGCGGCGTTCGCGTGATGTGCTCGGTGTTCGTGTGACCGGTAAGACAGGTCACCAACTTACTAGACAGTCGCACAAAGTTTTCAGACGTATTCTCTGAAAGCTGGCAAGCGATTAGCTTCACTTGCGAGTAAGGTTTCAGCCTTTCCAGACCTGCTTTCTATGAATTTTGGCAGATGAATCAAACGATCAAAGAGATGTCCTCCATGTCCAGGGGGCGTGAAAGCTTCCCGGAGCCCCTACCCGAGCCCATTGTCAGCCACGGTAAATAGTGTTATGACGTTGCTGGGTGAGCTCGACAGCTCTGCACCCGGAGCTTCTGCAGCGGCTCGAACTCACCTGTGTCATCAGCCGGTCGGCGCCGGTACCCTCCTCGTCTTTGAAGATGACGTCCTCGCTGTAGTTGGGCACCAGCTCACGGAACCGGGGGTCCTGCCGTGATATAGCGCCCTCGGCCAGTCCCGAGGCGCCCAGTGTATTCTCGCTCACATTTGGCACGTGCTGTTTGTAGACGAGCGGCGTGAGTTTGCGCGGCGACCGGCGCCGGTAGTGTCCGCGGCCGGGCGCGCACGCCAGCGCGTCGGCCGCCAGCAGCCAGAGCAACAGCACGTGGCGGCAGCAGCGCATAGCGGCCGGCGCGGCGCCGACAGACATCTCAGCCGGCGGCCGGCATCCCCGGCGACACGCACACACACCACCCACGGCGCGACCACCGCCCGCTCAGCTCGGATGGACGCTCAGCACCACCCCAGTCACCTCACGGCAGCACGCACAGCCCCCCAGGCGGTCAGCAACTCCGACAGGTCACACGTCGGTCTCCGCCGCTCCAGAAACTGAGCGCGCTCTCGAACCGCCGGCCAGTGTCCCACTGCAGCCACCTATGTGTCGCAGTCACCTATGACAGTCGCGGTCCCATACAGCACTGGTGTGGCCGTCAGTCCGGTGACCCCGTGGCTCTGGCCGTGTCGGGTCGGTCGGTCAGTCGGTACTGCGGCGGCGGCTGGCCGGCGGAGGCCGGCGGCGGCGGTCGGAGCGGCGCTCTCCTATTGGCTGGCGGCGCGCCGCAGCCAGCACGGGGTCCGCCGCCACCCCGGACCGAGGTGTCAGCGCTGGCCGGGCTCCGCGGCCAGCCGGCTCCAGACAATTAATTAGAGAGCCCAGCGCGGCCGGCCGGCGGTGCTTGCGGTCTGCTGAGCGCACTCGAGCTGGCTGCGGGCGCGCCCGCGCCGCGCACCGCCACGCCGGCCCCATGGCCCCGGCGTCCCATCGCCGGATGCTGGCGCTGCACAGAGACGGATGCCGCGATCAGGATGGCCGGCCGTGATAGTCTCACTGCCGACTGCCGCGCAGGCGACCGAGCACTTTACGAGGGACAAATTACATCATTGGTCTCGTACCATGCGTCATGATAAAGAATGGTCATGAGGTGCGGCCATGAAACCATGCGTGCTCGGTTAGACCAGAGCCGAGAATGGACAGTGCGGAGCGCCCACAGCACCGGTCAGCAGACTTTTCAAGATGAGCAGAGGATAATTAAATAATGACAAGGTGCGGCTAACGCACAAACGCTGCGCAAATGTGCAACACGCCAATCGCCATTTATTCGCACACGGCAAGCCCTGCTGCCATCGCGATAATTGATGGTTTCACAATAGAAAACAGATATGGTACCCAACCCGACCCATACCGTCCAAGCGGCAAATCCCAGGCATCGGGAGTACATATTTTGATGTCACTGTTTAGTGTTCATCAAAGCCTGACACGGTTCCGCTTCTTATGAACTGTGGTTATTATCAACACAACGTGCGATTAATGCCCCGGTAAGACGTAATGGCTTTGAATACGTTCATACTTCATACACACAAACTTCTCCATATAGAGGTCTCCGGCTCAGAGCAACGTAGTAACAATCGTTAGAAATTATTTCAGGAGAGCAAAGAAACACCTCCCCGCCGCCAGGCCCATCTTCATAGCGCCGGAGGCCGTGGGTAGCTGATATAGGTATACGACACCGGGCGATTACCTCCATGACATATCTCGCTTTAACACCAACATTTCAGGGTTGGCGATCCCACAGAAAATCTTCCCACAATGCAATTTTTAGTTATCATCGGGAGAAGGGAGTGTTACCAAAAATCGCTGTAGGCCTTCCATCGTTTCAAACTTATAGGTTGTGTTATACTAAATAAAACCACAAAATTGTGCAACAATCAACATAAAAATATCATAATTCTAAGCACAAACATGTTAATTACGTCAATGTGCATCGCATGGTATATAAGTAGGATATAGGGTGAATGTAGGTAACTTCGCGAAGAAATCATATATCGATTCCCAGGCTGAAAACGGTGAAGCAGTATGAAAAAGCTAGAACGGGTAGGGTAGCCTGGGGCAAGACGCCCCAGATAATTTATTTTGCTACATAACTTTTGTCCCACATCACCTGGAAGGCCAAATTTGTGCTCAATGCGTTCTTTGGACATTTTACTTTAAATTCCATCCCTCAAATTCATTCACTTGTGATTGGACTCCAAGCCAGGAAGTGATTTGTGAAGCAACTGCAAATGGGGCATTTTGCCCCAACCCCAGGGCAAAACGCCCCACGGCCTGGGGCAAGTAGCCCCATACTCTAGATTAAAGATTACACATGGTAGTTGGCTAAATCTTTTATGAGAGGTCCGTTAGACCTCGAGAGGCACGGCACTGAAGTTAGCACATTCCATCCTATCAGGTGTTCAGCTATGACACTATTGTATGAGCAGGTTTTTCACCTGCCACATAAGGCCAAATAATAAATTATTGCAATGCAAATGTTAACAAAATACCTCCTTTGTCTTCCAGCTGCTGAGAAAAATACATATAAAGGCATAGAAACTTACTGTTCGCCAGCTACCGAACATTAGAAAGTGGGTAGTCCGAACAACACATGAGGTAAAACGCCCCATGGGGCTTTTTGCCCCGCGACCTACCTATGGGGCGTTTTACCCCATCACGTAATTCGGCCAGAGCACAACGCCTTGCGCTCTAGTAAGACATAATTTAACACGAACTAACCCGGCATAATAAGCGTTAGACAATAGTTGTTCAGAATGCATAAAAGTCGTTAACCTGATGTGGACCATAAAAGAACGCCATGATGCATAATCAGACAACAAAACATAAAAATCACACCAAAAACACATTTTTGGCTATATCTCCCCAAAGAGTTATCACAATTTCTTTCCACTCTGCTCATATAATGATCATATAGTGCACGTTTTATAGAAGACAGGATGTTTCCCCAGAACCTTGCCAGTTCCGAGATACATCGGTGAGGCGTTTTACCTCGGCGGGGCGACTTGCCCCGGTCTACCCTACCTAGTTCATGGCGCAATGCAGTCCCTATGTACAGCTTTTATCCCGCGCTCCATCGTGTAGGTACATTTTGCATGATTTGTGTTTATTCAAATACATTTTTGCGCTTGACTTCGGACGAAGTTCCACAACTTCGGGTAAAATAATTTTTACTTCCTGATTTGATTTCGATCTTTGTAAGTTGCCTTATGTACATATGCAGGGGAGAGTGGGGTAAGACGCCCTTTTGATATTACAGGAAAACTATTAATATTATATTATATATGCAAGTTCTTGCAGCGTTTGTTACTGCCTTTTGTTTGTAGGGGAAAGATTTTCGGTCCGAGGTTGCAGGCTTTGAGCTTTTTATGTTTTGTCACGTTCTGATCTATAATTTGTGTCCCATCGTTTTCCATCTAATTACTTGTAGAGGGACTTTAAATTATGTTGCAGATGCATTTTGACCATAACTCCCATAACTCATAGAGGCGCTTTACGCGTGTTGCAACGAGTTTGTGCCTCACGATTGAATCTCTTGAGAAAAAAAATGGAGCCCAAAGACATTTGGTAGTTGAGGGTAAGACCCCCCCCGCAAATTCACTGTCTGCGTCAGGGCTGCGGAGTCTATGCCTTTTCGACGCGTCCAATTCCGACCCCGACTCAGGTTTCCAAAAAAAAAACTTCGACTCCAACTCCGGGCTCCAACAGTCGACTCCGATCGACTCCAACTCCGACTCAGACCCGGCAGACCTTAAATGGCTGCGAAGTTGATGGATTTTCGGTGGCTCCGACTCCGGCTTCGGCTTTACTTCCATAATCAACTCCGACTATAAGTTAAGTACCTTATACCTATAAGGTAAGGTAAGTATTAGTAAGTACAGGTTAGCAAAAGGCAAGACGCCCCTCCCCGGGGCGTCGTACCCACCCCGTGTGGTAAGGCGCCCTTTTGCAAGACTTTTTTTAAATATCTGTGTCACTCACTACATACGTGATACAATTTCCAGCTCTACTCTAAATAGTTGATCGCTATTCTAATGCACACATACCTCAATGGTGGATGCAATCATGCGGAGAGTGTTTGGCGTTTGCAGTTTCCCTTAAGGACTCTCCCCTATGCTATTTGCGCGCAACATCTGCCGCAGTGCCGCACTTTTTAAGATACCAAATTATTGCTTCCAAATGACGTCGTTAGGAACCAGGAACAGCGAGGGCTCCGAAAAATAAACAAAAGTAATTGTCTATTATCTCAAAACTCAGTTTATATTTCTGATATAAACTGTTTATAAGTTTATATTTCTATATAGGAACGTTATAAAGGACGGGGACATCGTGTCATGCCCCCATTGGGTGCCCAAGGTGCCGTTTTGTGATAAAAATGTGTCCCAGCCGTCACAGAGGCTCATTATCAACAATGTCGTCCAATCGCTGTCAATCAGGCTATTCGGTAGCATTTATGCCACTTCTTATTACTGGTCCTTGGCAACGCAACCTCCTTCATCCTGGTACTTTTCTGGTCACTAGTGTCTAGCGAACTCCTGACCTGACCAAAGATTACACAATACCATGAGGCGCACGGCATTACAGAATACCATAGGCGGCGGAACGGGGAGGGCATCGGGGCACCGTGCCCCCCTTTGATTTTGGCATTTTAACATTAGCCCTATGGGCTTTGCATGGAAAGAATGGGACCAAAAGTCGGCAGTGCCCCCCCCCCCCTAATTGAGGGTGTTCCGCTCCGCCGCTACTGCAGAATACTGTACCAAAGATTTTGCAGCATCATATGCAACCTTTTCTAGTGTTGAAATTATCTTATTTAACAGCTGACATACCCATTACCCAACCATCGCGAAGCCGGGCATATTTTCAGATGCATAAAAACCTGCTTGTCAGTTGTCATCAAGTTGCACAGCATTTTCCGCAGATGTTTCTCTCAATGCCTTTTTCAGACGCCGCTCGAGCCGACTCAAGACCATGGCAGCCAACTCCCCCTGATCGAGGCTTTCCTCCATAGCCAGACCAACAATATATTTTCAATTGAGATTAGGTCGAGGAACCTATACCCGACCCTGAGCATTGGCCTTTATTCCAAAGCCATGACAAATTAAAAAAAAAAAAAACGCGCACTATTTTTGACTGCGTTTTGCGTTGTGGCCTGGCACTTCACCTTACGCAAAAGTTGCCGTGACATTGCAATTGCATCACCGGGTTTCCTTTCCTGTTCCACGACGGCGCGCAACTTCGCTGTGTTGACCAAAACTGCTGCTATTTTTGTCTTACCCCATCCGGGTAAGACGGTCACATGGGTAGGGCAAGACGCCCAGCTTCTTTCACCGACCAGCACAGCTCGCAACAAATGCCCGAGATTAGCCGCATTGATACAGTCGCTCGTTGGTCTCAAGTGCTTCGGAAATGGCAGTATACGAGATTCGTGCAGAAGGCGTATGCTCGTACATATATAGGCCCTAGTTCAGAAGCCATGTAGAACCGTTTTTCACATTCATTATTCGAGAATAAACTGTGCCAAAGGACTATTGCTAACATGCCTGTGAGTATCGGAATCGAACATATTCTTATTAGAAATGCTTCTTTTTTCCTACAGCAACAAAACATATTTTCACCATTACAGAACCATTGGATTCATAGTTGCCCGTCTTACCCCAAACTCAATGTCAGAAGTTCAGCACGATTTTTCTCTGTGAGTGTGGACAATTTGATGCAGACAAAGCAAATCCGCGGTAAATGAACACTGGTGGCATATGAGTGTACCACAAGTGATTGCGCGAGTTTTTAACCCTATTCCTGGCGGGCTCCGCCGGGACAAGAAACTGGCGGGGGGGGGGGGGCCGATTCGGCCCCCCCTTCAGATCTCAAAAACTACACATCGCAACGACAAACGGTAAACGGCATCGGATACGCACGGTCAAGATCTACAATTTTTACTAAGGTCATTTTCAGGTCAGGTCAAAGATGACGTCACAGGGGTCGAAAAAGTCAAAATGGCGGCGCTAGATATGGAGAGAGTTTTTCTCGAATAACTTTCGAATTAGTCAAGATAGGAACAAACTAAGGGCATCATCGTGATCTTCTCGTCAATCCGCATCAAATGATATATATGTTGACCTCGAAAGGTCAAGGTCAAAGGTTGACCTCAGGTCACGTGACCTCGAGGTCATCATGTATATCATTCGATGCGTCTTGACGAGCTGAACACAATGAGACCATCCACGCGTCTGTATCTTGTTCCTGTACGGAGTTATTGGCCAAAAACCTTTGGTGACCTTTGATGACGTCACATGACCTCACAGCTGCCCAACAGCAAAACAGACCTCAAGGTAGTGAAGGTTGATCGTATATGAAGTCATGTATGGTATATGGGGCCATTCCGACCCGTTTTAGTGGTAAAAACAGGGAGTTGATTTTTCCCCCATTGACTTATAATGGGGAGGTCGCGAAACTGACCTGACCTTAGGTCACCGATATCAAAATTCCGAGATATACAAATTGCACATACTGGTACCCTAACTGAAGCCCGAAGAGAAGAAATTGATCGGTCAAAAACTCTAGCTCTGGCGTGATTGCAAACTTTTCTGAGGTAGGGTCACCAAACCGCCTCTGGTGACCTGACCTGAGGTCAGATCAACTCAAAATTTTCAGACATGTTGCGTAGAAGCCTTTTAGGAAAAGTCAGAAAATTTGAGCTTCCTAGCTCTACGCGTTTGGGAGAAATAACCAAAAAACCTCAGGGGGGGGGGGCTCCTGAGGTCCCCCCGCCAGGAATAGGGTTAACTCTATAGTGTTGCACACAAAAGCTTGCACAATACATTATGGATGTTTTCAATGAAATGAGTGTTTTAAAGAAATCAAAATAAAAGATTATCGACTGAACACACACTCACCAGACTTCAATGGTGGTGTAGTGGGAAAGGCAATTCTGGTCCTATTTTTTCTCGCTCGTAGCGCTATTGGTTTGGTCTGCAGAAGGAGTGCCCGACGCCCGTCTTACCTACCTGAGGGACCGTCTTACCCCACTTTCCCCTACTGCTCACTGACACATTTTCGTCTTTTTTATTTTCTCCAAATTTAAGAAAATGAGTTTTTGAAATTTTTTGATATCTCAATTTTGAATTTAAAAATCTCAAGATCTTGATAAATCTATATTTTTGGAGATTTCGCGATATCATTTTGCTTGCCATACTTTTTTTGTACCCACGGTCCAATTTTTGAGTCTCTAGATTGATACGACTTTCTGCGATTTTTTCCGTGAACAGCTTTTACGACAAAAAATTGCCGGATATGACATCAGTTTGACCTCTTAACTCATGACCTGAGATGGCTTAGAACCCATTTTTTTTTCAGGAGCTGCGCAAATTGAGGTCCGGAGAGGTAGGTACTGAAAACAGCGGGTCAAAATTCGTCGATTCGCGGCCGTTTTTTGACTATCTGCAAAAAAGGGAGCCCTTTGCCCCCCCCCCACGAGTGGTGGGTTAATCCCCACTCGGGCACACCTGCCAGTGTTTTTGTTTTGCGCGTGTAAAGAAACTTGGTATAGCTTATGATGCATGAATGTCGCATCGTGTGTAAAATATTTGACCCCAGGTCACATAAGGTCACACAACTGCACATGAGACTAGGTATCAACAGCTACAAGAACAACTACAACTTAGAATAGGTATCAGAGCACTTTTTTGTTTCCTATCAATCAATTACGTTCATGTCCAGTTCTTTTCTTGTCTTTTGTCTTTTGTTTTTGTACTTTTATTTTTTGTTTTGCTTTTATTGTTCTTTTCTTTCATTTTGTTATTGAAAAAATGCTCACTTTTCGCCTAGAACTCTGCTGTGGCTTACTGATATTACGCTGTCAATAACACAATTCATTTTGAACGCTATCCCATGGGATTACCTACATGGCATAAACCAGATAGCCACTGCATTACGACTCTCCGCTGGCATGCGAAGCCCAGTGCCCAGTCGATCTCTGCGATATACCGCTGCTGAACGAGCTGCTGTAGCCGTTCAGAGCGAATCAGGCCAGCAGTTATGTCAGCGTTCCACGATTTATTTGAGGGCATCCCCATTCAAGATAAATGGTTCGTACTGATTCCTACATATCAGCATTGTCTTATAAAGCTGCTGCACGTCCCGCCCATTTCCTCATCTATACTTATTATCTCAATTTCTCATTAACCCGCGCACCGACGGGGGCGGTTACCCGCCCCCCCCCCCTGAGGTTTTTCGCTAATAGCGGGAAAACCGCGGCGCGTAGCGCCGCGAAATTTGGTATGACTATTCTCTTATCAATTTTACACATGGTGTGCAAGTTTGAACCTCCTAACTTTTAAGGTCAGGTCATCAGGTAACTTTGAATGACCCAGCCTCAAGTGACTTTTTTGCAACTTTGCCACAGTGTCAGAGCTACAGCTGTAGATGACGGACGCCTTTGAAAGTCGCAGGATGATATTAGGTACCTAATTGGTAGCTATATAATTCGTATATCTCAGAATTTCGATATCGATGACCTAAGGTCAAGTCAATTTCTCGACCTCTCATTATAAGTCAACGGGGGAAAAATCAACTTCCTGTTTTTCCACTAAAACGCGTCGGAATGGCCCCATATACCATACATGACTTCATATACGATCAACCTTCACTACCTTGAGGCTTCTTTTGCTGTTGGCCAGCTGTAAGATCATGTGACGTCATCAAAGGTCACCAACGGTTTTTGCCAATAACTCCTTACAGGAACGAGATACAGCCGCCCGGATGGTCTCATTGAGTTCAGCTCGTCAAGGCGCATCGAATGATATACATGATGACCTCGAGGTCACGTGACCTGAGGTCAACCTTTCACCTTGACCTTTCGAGGTCAACATATATGTATATGGTTCGATGCAGATTGACGAGAGGATCACGATGATGCACGTAGTTTGTTCCTAGCTTGACTAATTCGAACGTTATTCGAGAAAAACTCTCCATATCTATCGCCGCCATTTGGACTTTTTTTACCCCTGTGACGTCATCTTTGACCTGACCTTAAAATGACCTTGGTAAAAATTGTAGACCCTGTCCGTGCGTACCCCATGCCGTTTACCGCTTGTCGCCATCTTGCTTCGTTCTTGATATCTCAGGGGGGGGGGGGCGGTCATCCGCCCCACCCCCGTCGGTTGTAAGTTGGCGCAGACCCCCGCCGGTGCGCGGGTTAATAAGAAGGTACATGTTTTGAGCTTAGTCTTGTGAAAAATGTTAAGGATCTAAGGGAAAATATATGGCTTACCCAAAAATTGTTTTCCAGCTATGACCTGGCTTTGAGTCTGATCTGACCAAGTGACCAAGCTACCGGACCGGGCTCTAAACCAGCCCAGGTACTGGGAGGGGAATCGGGAGCACTCCTCCGAACTGGCAGGACGGTCGAAGAGTCGAGTCGAAAACACTTAATATTTCAGAATACGCCCCAGCCCATCCGCCCCCCCCCCCCCCCATCCCCACGTCCGCGACCGCCAGCGAAGCCAACTTTACCACAGAAGCCTTCTAGCATCATTAAAACATTCAGAACAAGTTGATACAAAAGTGCAAATATATTGAACGAGTACACAACACCTTTTAACGCAGTTCACACAAAACGTAGGCCCAGGCTATCGCCTGCAGCGCTGTATACCACACACATATTATATAGTCATACATAGTCAGTGTATTGCCGCTTATATGCCAAAACTCCAGAGCATACACTATACAGTCCATCCCATGAAGAGTAGTACACTTCCAGTCCAGTCTATTCGCCTATCTATAGTATTCAGCACACCCACGATACTGAGCGCACACGTTTAATAGCCTACAACACACGGAAATGTATGTATATAGTGTATGTGGTCGAATATGGTTATCGACGTTCATCACTCTAATTAGTGCTCAAGAATGAATACATGAATACATCTATTTATCTTCTCATGACTTTAGCTCTACCACAAATCACGACGGGAGTCATGTCCCAACACAGAAGGCCACAAAGCGAGTGACGAAATTTGCCACGCAACCGGTCCCAGTCCTTCCTGCTGGCATCATCAGAAGATGATGCATGAATGAAGCGGATGCGAATAACGACTGGAATACCTACACCTAAACTGTTCAGTTTCTCGCAGAATAGCAAATCTAAAAAAGACACATGTCACAGAGATGGAACATCTCAGAAAGACGGAAGCATCTAACATCTGACATCTGATCATTTGACGGTAGCAGAGTCGATATATCACTATCTGAGAGAGCCACTGCTACCCGTTCCACTCAATATCGGGTCTTTTGTGATGGCAACTACGACAATAAGCATCAGGATGTATCAATAAGGTCATGTGTACGCTGCGATGTTGCAGACGGTTCGTAAAAGACCCGCCACAAGAGTCGATCGTTTCGCGACTAACTATCATAGACCAATCCAAAAATAATTATAATATCCATTCTCATGTTCAGCCTTTATAGTGCATCCATGTATGACCATTGGTACGTTAAAAGAAATGCATCGGTTATTGATATCAAGAAATAAAGCATAAATTCACGACACAAATGCTGAAGGCACGGCCTCAATACTGAAAAGATTGTAGAGTGAATGAAAGCACTGCGCGAACTAATCGTAGTACACTGCTCCGCACGTGCCTCTCGAGACTGCACAAGCCCACTCTTCGTTGTTATTTGTGACTTAACTACGAAGGACCTATCTACGAAGGCCAAGCATGCAATAGACGGTGAAACCAGTGACAAGGTATCGCCTAAATCAGGTCCCTGCCAGACGTTAACATATAATTCGGCACATGGTTACATCACGATCGTTCACCCTCAATCCTCAATCGGCTCCAATCACACACTACTCCAGTCGTTGCTCTCAAACACAGTAGCCAATGCGAACGCAAACACTAATAAACTACCGTGAAATCGGAGAAACTCACTCCAGAACCCTGCATTAGCCATCATTGCTGAAACGTAAGTCCGATGAAATATTTACGCTCATGAAACATCCGCGCTTTTTCGGAGAGCACAATAGCGCAAATAATGTGGCAATACTGAGCAAAAATAATGGATCGAAGTTTTCTTTTTTGTAAAAAAAAAAAACATCCAGACTTACGGCATTGGCCATAACGTTAAAACATGTAGGGCTCCCCAAGCCACCTACAAAGCATGCATTCTGAAGATTCTGACGTCCTTGTTCATACATCACCTTTGGGTTTTTTTATGATACACTGATATTAGTCACAATACTAGTAAAGAAGATAGTTGTTCGTTAAATCTATACCACATATCAAACCCTGAACCAGTGACCCATAATGTTATACGCTTCACCTTTTACATGGCATCAATGTCAGCGAACGATGGCCATTCCAAGACAGTAAAACACGTGTGCAGACAAGACACTGAATCCGTGCCTTAGGACGACCAGCTCGTCATCGGCACGTGAAAAGAAAATGAGAGGAAAGAGAAAACGAAATCTGGCTCTGATTTAGGCATATTTAGGTAACACCTTACATCTGCACCAGCAAAAGAAATCACAGGCGCGTGAAGGCTGGTATTATCCGGACCACAACGCTCCGTAGGTCCATAGAGGGTCAACCCAGACTGCGATTGATTATGAAGCAAAAAGGAGTACCGAAGTAAGAGAGAAAGTTATTGAGGACGTGGTGGATGCACACAATCGTTCTATCCGGAATCCAACCACGAAACGTGCCTACTGGACGACCCCAGAACTAGACGTGGATAGGCCCGGAATTCGGGATCACGAACTTTGTCTGGAATTGACAGCTAGTAACAAAAAGACCCTAAGTGAAAAGCAGTACAATGTTGTTGTTTTTCGAGTATTTTCATACACTACAGAGAAGTGGCCGCCCTTGACCGCGAAGTGTAAGGAAAGCTGGCGCTCCTTTGATTCCCTTGTGGTTGTTTGTGCCACCTATTGCGCCATCTTGTGACGAGATCGTAAGCTACAGTTCCCGGACCGGCCGGCAGATTTTCTAGCCGTTGTTGTCCAGCGAGTCGTACGACTTGCTGGCGCCGTTGAGCAGCGGGTCCATCTCGGGGTGCGGCCGGGCGGCGCGGTGGCACCAGGCGGCCAGCGCGCGCGCCCGCTCGGCCAGCCACTCACCGATACTGGGCGAGCCAGAGTCCCAGCTGCGGTACAGCAGCGAGTTGAGCACCGCCTGCAGCGGGTTCAGCACCGCCTGAAAAGGGAACGGAGGGCGGTCAGCACCGCCTGCAACGAAACGGGAGGGGTCAGCACCGCCTGCAGCGAGTTGAGCACCGCCTGCAGCGGGTTCAGCACCGCCTGAAAAGGGAACGGAGAGCGGTCAGCACCGCCTGCAGCGGGTTCAGCACCGCCTGCAGCGGGACGGGAGAGGTCAGCACCGCCTGCAGCGGGTTCAGCACCGTCTGAAAAAGGAACGGAGAGCGGTCCTGCAACGAAACGGGAGGGGTCAGCAGTCAGCACCGCCTGCAGCGGGTTCAGTACCGCCTGCAGCGGGACGGGAGAGGTCAGCACCGCCTGCAACAGAACGGAGAGCGGTCAGCACTCAGCACCGCCTGCAGCGGGTTCAGCACCGCCTGCAGCGGGTTCAGCACCGCCTGCAACAGGGACACGGAGCAGTCAGCACCAAATGGAACGGAACGGAGGGGTCAGCACCGCCTGCAACGGAACGGAGGGGTCAGCACCGCCTGCAAGGGAACGGGGAGCGGTCAGCACTCAGCACCGCCTGCAGCGGGTTCAGCACCGCCTGCAACAGGGACACGGAGCAGTCAGCACCGCATGGAACGGAACGGAGGGGTCAGCAACGCCTGCACCGGAACGGAGGGGTCAACACCGCGTGCAAGGGAACGGGGAGCGGTCAGCAACACATGGAACGGAATGGGAGCGGTCAGTAACGCATGGAACGGAATGGGGAGCGGTCAGCAACGCATGGAACGGAATGGGAGGGGTAAGTAACGCATGGAACGGAATGGGAGGGGTAAGTAACGCATGGAACGGAATGGGAGGGGTAAGTAACGCATGGAACGGGACAAAAGCGGTCAGCACACAGTACCACAAAAAACGCGAATGTGAAACGGAGCATGGAGGAAACAAACATTGCTGCAACCTAGCATAAGGGAGCACCGAGGAGTCAGAGATGCTTGGGATGGAGGACGGACGGTTCAATAAATACCGCTAAAACGGAACAGGAGGCCGGGCCAGAGCCGCCTGGAACATCAAACGGAGCATGAATGGGTTGGTGCTGCTTGTAAAGGAGCGTCCAGGGAAGTAGCTGCTTGAAACGGAACACAGGGGCTCAGTCCTGCCGGTAACCGTTCAGCGCTGCCCCAAAAATTGAACATGGATTCACTCTGCCGTCGGGAGGAAAAAAGCCGTAAGTCACATTTTTATCGATTTTTCGTTTTTGATATCGTTGGAAAGCTCTTTTCATGATGCGTTTAATGGTACTGCTCAAACGTGTGTACACTCAAAAATGAAAATATTATATATAATATAAAAATTCAAAAACGGATTTGTTACATCAGGGATCGCAAAACACGCAGGAAGAAAGCCGTATCCTTAAATTCGGCAGATACGGCATTTATACAAAATTTCAAACAAAGAATGTGGAACTGATAAGTCAGGAAGAAAGCCGTATCTTGTAGATACGGCTTTAATTTGATGGTGGCCTGTGAAATATGAGCCGAATCGTTGTTCCAGGCAGTTTGGAAGAAAGCCGTATCTACTCATTTAGCATGGCTTCGGCATATCCTGGACGGAACAGTTGAACATTTACACAAACATGCTACGTGATCGTAGCAATATGTGACCATTTATAGGGGAATTTTAGTTGAAATAAAATAGGGAGTGAACTTGAGAAGTTTGAAGCCAACAGAACTTTGTCAGCTCGGTGGTGTCAGCAGGGTGCCGGGCATCCAGTATTTTGATGTGCTAACCAGCCGGGAGCGCCAGTATAAACCGACCGTTCTTTTCCCCAGCTTCGTTTAAAATTCCAATAACAAAAAATACCCGACCTAGCCTCCCCCATGATTAATTTGGCCTCCCTGTCCCCACCCCACTCCACAACCAAAATAGCATCATGTTAAGTTCGACCCGGTAATCATCATAGACATGCAGCTCGTAGCCGGCACGCTTAGTACGACGACCTACAATCTTTGTCGTAAAACCGTTGAAGATATAGTTGAATACCGTGAAAGGTCGATTGCTATTGCCAACCTCGTCACATTCATTGTGATAATTGTGACCACGCCCATGTATCTTTGGGACCGTCATCCCCTGTCACTTCCATTCCGGGTCAATGACTTTACCGTCTTCTTTCCGGCTCCCTCATACCCATGATGCTCAATCATATTGGAAATTTAGGCTACCTTGTAGCACGCACAAGCCCAACATTGTCGTATTCTACGGGCAGCTGCCCAGAGCCTACCAGCACAGCTGTGGCCGGTGGAGGATGCAGCAAGGCGTACTGTGAATAGCCCTCTGCTCTGTTGCAGTAGGCGCTATAATCAGAGCCCTGTGAATACGAGTGCACATTGGGGGCCTTTTGAGGGTGCGCCCTCTAAAGGGCGTTCCCGCAGACGTGTGGAGCTCTCAGCAGTCTAGCGATCTCCGACAATGAGGCGGCATTTGCTTACACCCTCAGCCACGGCACAGTGCTATCGCCCTAGATGTTTCGCCCAGGCTTTGTAGATGCAGTTTCTTTACGGGAATTCCTGAAGTTCTTACACCATCCTCTATTTTGGTTCAGGAGCCGGGCGGTTCCGTGCTTGTAGCTGCGCACCACGTGACTTAACAGCGTCCCTTTTCCGGGAACCTTGTGTCCAGCTAATCAGCAACATTCCCACTCATCGTCTCTTGCCCCCTTGAAGTGCTTTGAGGTCTGCAGATCGACGATGGGAAACTACACTATCTCGGTTCTCTCGACATTGTCGCCGTGGCTTCGGCGCAGCGGCAGACCGGCACACTCATCTCTCCGAATATATCAGTGGCTCAGAATTAACTCTGGAGTCCAGTGTAATCGAAAATTGAAGCACCGTACAAAGACAGCATTCGTGATTCCCCTTGTCGGTTGCAGGCACGTAGCCAGGATTTTGCTCAGGGAGGGGCCACAGGTCGCGGCCTAGTGTCGTGCCCCTCCAGAAAAAGAAAACTCCTCGGATTTGGCCCACTATCTTTTGGGATGTGGTGCAGCTGTGGTTATTTTTTTAAAGTTTTATTTTATTTTATTTTCGCGTTTAGAGGGGGGCATGGCCCCTGTGCTCCCCCCCCCCCTTGGCTACGTCCCTGGTCGGTTGGTCAAGCTGTCTTTTGATGGCACCCTGCGCAACCAGAATCCAAGAGCCTAAAGTTACGACAATAATGCGATTATGCATAGATCATGTAGTTTAAAATGGGTATCATGTTTGTTTTTGTATCGAACGTTCAATTAGATATCCATACTTGAGAGCTGAAGCAGTGGAACAGAACCAGCAGCGGAACTGCTTTAGTACTTTTAACCGAAGGTTTGTTGTCAATAGTTAAAACACTATTCTTTAGAATTGTGTTTTTCTATTGAAAAACAAATCTGAGTTCCCTGACAATTTGGCAAAAGCTGCCTGAGATCAGTACAACTTGATGCTCTTGAAAACGGCTGGTCCAAATATTCTGATTTTTTTCAGGATTTCTAGTGGACCAGGTGATCTACGTTCTGGTATGGGTCTCCCCTCCGCGGACCATCTGGTGCACGTGCCACGTGACTTTAAAAATTCCCGTGTTAAGCCAATGGGGAAAATGAAAAAATGCGTTCCACGGCAGATTGCTCGAAAACGATCCAAACGACCCCCCATTTTCTTACATGCAGATCAACCACCATTCGGTGCACTACCCATGGGTATGTCGCAAAGTGGCCGGAAAAGTCCAGAACCACGTGCCACGTGCCGTTGAAAATGACCCTGCACACCGGAAATTGGGACTTTTGGTCATTTCGGCGCACCCATGATGCATACTATGGCGTGGGTGACCAAACAATGGGTGTCATCCGGTCGGCAACTGTTTAAGGTGTCGTCCAGTGGGCCAAAGTGGTAGTTTCAAACTTTTGGGATCCACCACTCTGGGGATTCTTTTTGACAATATACTTACGTTTCTTGGCGCAATGTTCATTCCACCCAGCCGGTCGTCAATGCGTTAGATGACCCAAATGACGATTGACCTGAAGGAAGTTGGGGGCGAGGAACACGCACGTGCCATCCGTTTTTTACTCGGGCGCTTTCATCTAGGAGATTTTTGCAGATACGTCAATGCGTTAGATGACCCAAATGACGATTGACCTGAAGGAAGTTGGGGGCGAGGAACACGCACGTGCCATCCGTTTTTTAATCGGGCGCTTTCATCTAGGAGATTTTTGCAGATATCTTTTTGATTTGTGAAAATGACCAGCCTAGCGGTATGCCAGCCGCTGATAAATTATTATCTTGCTGCGGCCGGGCGCTTATTTGCGGTGTTTGCGTTTGGCGGCTGGCGGGCGACTTTTAGTCGTTTTCGGTTAGCAGTTAGCGTCGGTGCGGTGCGGGCGGTTTTATTTTTTTTCGGCGTTTCGGCGTTTTTTTCTGTGTGGTTTGCGGCGGTCGGGTGATTTTTTGCCGTTTGCGTTGGCTTTTCGGGCGTGCGTTTTACACGTTTTGCGGTGTTTACGTTTTGCGGCGGGCGGGCGTTTTGTGTTTTTTGCGGTGTTTGTCTTTGGCGGCGGGCGGGCGGGCGGGCGGGCGATGCGGGCGGTTTTCTTCTTTTTTTGCGTCGTTTGCGGTGTTAAATTTGTTTGCGGTTGGCGGGCGGTTTTATTGTTTTGCGGCGTTTTTGCGTTTTTTATTTGCGGTTTGCGGCGGGCGGGCGTTTGTTTATTTTTTGCGACGTTTGCGTTGGCGTTTCGGGCGTGCGTTTTGCGCGTTTTGCGGTGTTTGCGTTTTCCGGCGGGCGGGCGTTTTTCACAATTCAAAGTCCAAACCTTCGGGCCACAGCGCTCCTCGAAAAGCGCTGCCCTCGAGTATGAACCAATACGCTGTCAATACAAATGCACCGATGATAGTGCTTTTTGACAACAATATGATTAAACAAAAATGGCGATACGGCTTTATTCCCGATCGGTTAACCAATGTATCAGACATACGGCTTTTTTCATGACAGTATTGCTCAGGTGTCTCGTACGATGCGGCTTTCTTCCACGATACGGCTTTTTTCGTGAAAGAAAGATTCCGCAAACTCGGGGTTGAATTGGAAGCAAAAAAGTTTTTCGCCTTTTGCTTTTAGGTTAAAATAATTTCCCTTTTATAACCACTTTCATTGGATGTAAAATTTCTTTCCGATCACTGCAGTATGTTTTGTTTCGTTATTGAGCAAAGTTAACGAATTTTATAACAAAAAACGCGTTTTTTGCCTCTCCTGAACAATTTTCAATTCGAAAAAGTGCCCCAGATACGGCTTTTTTCCTCCCGACGGCAGCACTCCTGCCTGGAACAGATCATGGCTGACTGGTGACTGGCTGTATCACAGAACACACTGCCAAAGCAAAACGTCGATGGCTCAACAACGATGAAAGCCGGCAGTTCCAGAAAAAGATAGACAAAGTAAGCGATGGTGATCAGACAGGCTCGCTACCAAAGCACTACTCAGTCATATTTAATCTACCTCCCCCCGCGTGTGCTCGACATTCCCCGGTGATGGTGGCGCAGATTTCGGCCCGGCTCCGCTCAGAGCGGCCCGCGTTCACTCACCATGAAGTACCAGATGACCACCACCGGCTGGACGGGCACCTGCGGCCACGTGCTCCACAGCAGTACGCCGTTCACCAGGTTCGGCAGCCAGCACAGGTAGAACGCCACGATGATGCAGACAAACTTGAAGCGCAGGTAGAGCAGCGTGCGCCGCTCCCGGTTACTGAAACTGACAGCGGGGACGAGACACGGTGACTGGCCTGCTGCATCACCTACCACAAATAGTAAAATCCAGCAATCCACCACAAAAGAGCAGACCAAAGTGCTTCTTTCGAATGAAGCATATGAACGTAGTTCACCGGAATCAATTACAAAAGAAACAAGCAAAATTGTTAAATGTACACTTTGCCATTGCAAACCCATACGTTAGGAGACGGTCATAGAGATTCACGGCCGGTGGGAATGGCAAGAAGCTGTCAATCCTGTCAAGCTGTCAAGCTGTCATCCACCGTTCACAAGCTCCAGAATCCCTTTACCGTGACGTCACCACGGCGGTAGAATCTCCCTTCACCCATGGGCATGCATGCAAATTTCATCATCTTTCGAGCGAGCTGGAGAAAAAAAAAACAAGGATTATGTGTCATCAAAAGTTGTACCAATGTAACAAAGAGTTCACCTCATTACGATAAATGGGGCTGAAGCTAAAAATAGGACTATATCGAGCCAAAATCAGCAATTCAAATGACCCCTTCATTTGAAAGTGAAGGATTTCCTCTGATGACGTCACCACGGCGCCTTTATTTCCCTAGTGAGCCAGCCTGAGTAGTAAAGGAATCTTGCTGTCAATAGCCCGTATTGAGGGCATTCGACCACCCACCGGACAACGATGAGCGGCGCTGGACCACTCAGCGCCTGCAGCTGAAGACTTGGGACCACCCACCGCCATCGGTTGGCGGCGTTGTCCAAGTCACTGGTCGGAAGCTGTATTGTCTAACTCACCGGTCAGAAGCTGCTGCCTAACTCACCGGTTGGAGGTATTGTCTAACTCACCGGTTGGCGGCACTCACTGGTCGGCAGCGGCTGTCTAACTCACCGGTTAGAAGCTGCTGCCTAACTCACCGGTTGGAGGTATTGTCTAACTCACCGGTTGGCGGCACTCACTGGTCGGCAGCGGCTGTCTAACTCGCTGGTTGGAGGTTGCTGTCTAACTCGCTGGTTGGAGGTTGCTAACTCACCGGTCGGAGGTGTTCACTCACCGGTTGGAGGTGTTGTCTAGGCTCTAGCTCACCGGTTGGAGGTATTGTCTAACTCACCGGTTGGAGGTGTTTGCGATGCGGGCGCGGATCCTGGACAGTGAGAGCCGCACCAGTATCGGACACGACACCAGCACCGTCACCAGCGGCAGGTAGACGCACATGTAGTTGGGGAAGTGGCGCAGGAAGCTGTTGGTGCCCTGCGCGTGACAACTGCCGACGGACACGGACATGACAGCATTACAAACAGTAGGTGTACCGCATCGGCAACGACATAAAAAATGAACAAAAAGAACGAGGCAGTGACAGAACATACTGAACTGCGTGAAACAGAAAAAGCTACTTCGGTCTTTAAAATCACATCGCATGTTTCAACATGAAAAAAATCATCATCTCATTCATCTCACGCAATCCTAATTTTATTTTATGTGAATGTCAATATTCATACTAGCATAACAATTACCTATATCAAGAGCAATGAAAATCAAACCTTCCCACGGGAAGAAACGTTTATACGAGACACCACCAAACAACGAGATTTGGTGATGTCTCGTACCATCAGTACGATACACCACCGAACCCCGATATCACGGTAGCCCGGGGGTACGTCTCCGAACGCGGGGGCTCGTCGCTAGCTAGGCGCTAGATTGCCCCGTTAAACCCCATCCCCTCTGAGCGCGATGGCCCGCCGCTCCCATGGTGTCAGCCCAGTTGACCCCCACCCCACCCCACCCCTCTGAGGGTGATACCCCGCCGCTCACTTGGTGCCGGGCACGAAGAGCAGCAGGAAGCCGATGGTGGAGAGGACGAACGGCACCAGCCAGGCCCAGAGGCCGTACACGACCATCGAGCCGCCGGAGCCGCGCAGTGTGCGCAGGACGTCCACCGCGTACAGCAGCGTCCACATGTAGGTGGCCGTGTAAAAATACTGCGTCACCGCCTGCGGGGACCGGAGGAGATGGGACGAGCGGTCAGCCACCGGGACAGGGATGGCAGAGTGCGGTCAGCCCTCAGGGCAGCGGCAAAGGGCCGCGGTCAGTCACCAGGATAGGGACGGCAGAGCATTATCAGAGGTAATGGGCCACGGTCAGCCTCTGAGGCAGGGCAGGTGGGGTGCTGTCAACTTCAACTCAGGAGCGGCGGAGTGCGGTCAGCCCCTGTGCTGGGAGGGGAGAGCGGCCAGCCATCGGGACAAGGACGGCCCAGCATTATCAGCCGTCAGCCCAGGAGCGGCGGAGTGCGGTCAGTCCCCGTGCAAGGAGGCGCCGGCTCTGCATCTCGCCAGGCGTAGGTACACAGGGCACAGGCAGGCGACGCAAACACAACACTCGACAGATACACGGACAACGCAAACACAACGGCCACTAGACAGAGAACGAAAAACACCTATCCGTGCTTCTATCCTCTGGAAACAGAAATCCTTCTCCTCCACGCCGCAACCCCCCTCCGGGCTGGACAGGCAACTTTATCTCATGCGGGCTGCTCCTTTGGAGCGGCACCGCTGCTCCTGAGGGAGCGCACCCCGTAGCCGGGTGCAGTGAGTGCCTTGGGGCTGGGTGGCCTGTCCTCTGGACGGGCTCAGCCCCGGCGACTCACTAGGGTGCCTGCCCAGACCAATGTCTCCCCCCAATTCCTATCATCCTTCCGGCTCTGCAATGGTCTTGTCGACCGAAAGGGCCTAACCCAACAAAACAAACAAACAAACAAAAACGAAAAACAGACAGAAAGCCGCCCGGAAAAGGTGACAAATGTGTGGTGTAGATGTATGAATTAATCGCAATGCCGGAGATGGTAAAAACATAGAATGCAAGCAACGCTCACGAACGTTCAATGAAAAAGAATGAGGCAGTAAACAAGATTTTCATGCAAATTTTTCCTTAACAAAAAGAAAAGATGCGTCATATTTCAGAACTCCCGCTCGTCAGTCGCTAGTTGAGCACCTCCCATACAACAAGAAACTTCTTTCCCCCTACAAACTAAGTTCCAAGTCACTGCTCTTGCTGTTACGTAATGCATGACGATGAAATCGTACGAGCGAAATCAAACATAAAATTAGTGATTATTGATCATACTAACCAGAGTAACTGTGCTCTCACCGATGTGACGATGCAGAAATCGCTGGCGAATTCATCCAATCCGAGACCCCTCATCATGTTTTCGTCCATCAGCCAGACCACGCAGCGAAGGATCACACCTGAAAAGCCACCCGATTTATCGTCGGAAAAGAAAACTTACACATTATTCGCAACCTATTTTCAACATGGCGATGATTTATAGTTTTATTGTTATACTTGACAACAACCCTACCTACCATCTGCAGATGAGCGATCCGACAGCCCTTAACAAGCAGAATAAAAACGCCTATACTGAAGAATTATTTTACACACTACAAAACCACCGAGACAAGGAAGGCTCATAAACTGTCCCTGAATTGTCTTATTTAAATCAAACCTCTCAGTAATTGCGAAGACCAATGTAACAACAAAGTTACGGAGTGCAACTTCAACACATTTGACGGCGCTGTTTAATCATTTCCGTCCAAAAGCAATAAATTAGTCAAACTATTCTCCAAACCCGTCACCATCGCGTGCCCGCGAGGTGACGGCCCAGTCCGACGGGGCACCACCACTGACCAACTGCAGCCATCAGGTCGGCAAAGCCGAGCCACTGCAGGATGCGCCGGCCTCGCAGGATGAACGTCGGCCGCCGCAGGCTGCTCCGCTCCAGAATCACGTGGTTATGCAGTATCTGAGACGGCCAACAGGGATCATCAGCACAATGTACCAAACGGACTTCTGTCGACCTAGGGCATTGGCGCAATACAATCACTAAACGGTCGCACACAGATAAAAAAATACAAACAAATGACAAGAAACTTAGGTAACAGCACAAATGCGACGACATAGTATTGTTTTACACCGCTAAGCCACATTGAACTGAATACGCCCTGGTTCATTTTTTTTTCCTACGAATCTGTGGTAATAACCGCGGCTGCCCCCTACTGCAAACACAAACCTTACCAAAAGCGGACCCAGTGACTGGTGACAACGGTTTTCCGACAAAAAGACCTGTCCTCATACAAACTATGTAAACAAACGCACAACGATAACTTACTATTCTAGGTAATCCATGTTCTATGTGTAGTGTGTGCCATCATTCACGATAACCAAATTATGGTCTGAATGACAGCCGGCAAGTACACAAAAACAAACAAAGCGATCCGATAAACATCCGGCTCCGTAGCAGCGACCCCTGAACAGCGCCGGACTGGCCCTGGCATAAAATGCGATGAACCATGGCAATGCCGTATGTCCTATGTGTGGCATGTAAAAGATGAACAAAATACATCAAATGGACGACTTTCAGATAAACACCAAAGACATGGCGTTTGTCATGTCGCAACAAACGCCGACCAAGTCCTCCATTCAGTGTGGGGGGGGGAGGGAGGGGGACTGACCTGATACGAGGCGCCGAGGACGCCGAATATGGCGAACACCAGACACACGGTGGTGTAGGTGGGCGACCGGAAGTAGGGCGCCAGCTGCTTGGTCGGCTCGTTACTGTCATTGTGTAGCGCGCAGCAAAACGAGTCCAGCGTCGGTGACGCCATCTCCGCTCAGCAGCCGGTGAACCCGCGACCAAAACGGCTGCGGCAGAGCGCAATATCACTGCGCAACACTCTTCTAAAACACTGACGATAACACAACACAATCGCACCCATGCGACCACAGCATAAGTAAGCTTTAGGCCCCCAGATATCGCGATCCTTGAACGACCTCACGCCAAAGAATACGGCACTGTACTCCACTGACTCGCAGTCGCTCGATCGAACGGCATGTTACATAACGCCCCTGGCCTCTAAACACGAGAAACTCGATCTTCTTCATTTTCCCTGCCGATTGCCAAACAAAGTATTCAATGTCATAAACAAAAATCGGATTAAGTTGAGTCAACCTTTGGCGAATGGCAGGCATCAGCCAAGCATGGGCGGAAGCTGCCATATAATAATGGTACTAAGCAGAATCAACGGGCAGCCTGGAATCCACCTGAAAACATGCAACTAGCAACCAGATAGGTTATTGTGCTGTAGGAACTCGGATTGAGCTTAGTAGGTATATGGCGTTCACTCGATCTTAACACCTTTATCTCTCGCCCGGCCAGGGCCTTTTCATAACGCGGACGCCCTGGGGTGGGGGTGGTACGACTCCTCCCCCCCCCCCCGGCGATTGGCTCCAGTATGCCACTCAGAAACTTCAAATTATCAGGGTAGGTGGGCCCATAGGAAATATCTCCCCTGTGCAAATTTGGTGACATTAGGTCAATATTTAGGGGGGGGGGGGATGTATATGTAAAAATTTCACTAAACACGTTAAAAGTTTTCCGTTGATAACTTTTGATCTAGTAAGGATAGGATAAAAATAAAAACACTAGATAACTCAGCACGTAAATGAGCATCGAATGGTATACTACTCACCAGTTTAAGTGAACTTAAATTAATTGATAAAGTTTGTAAGTTCATAAGCTCATACACAGACTTCTTTATATAGAGAAGTCTGTGGCTCTGTGGCTCATCAAAATGCATCATGTCGCATGTCATTCGACTCGGCTGATCACAAGGAACTCAAAGCCACCATCTTTGCAGCTCTAGCCTCATTTATTAGCAAAAACGTAGTATGACCCCATCTGACCTCAGTTGATCTGACCCTAGCATTCTTGCAGCAAGGAAACAGCAAGCTAACCACGTCTGAGGTAGTAAAATATGAAAACATTGAAATGGAGCATACATCTCTCATATTTTTGTCAAGTTGGAGCCATTCGGACAAATTTCCTTAGAACTTCTCATGACCTCTATGCAGATGACCTCCGGTTAACCAAATTTGAAAAACCGGGATGCATGTTATGGCACTCGGTCTGCTTAGCATACCCTGCAAGTTTGAAGCAAATCCATGCACAGCTCTTAGAGCTCATGGAAAAACAGGGTAATTTCAGTGCCAATTTGACATTGTACCGGTTTTTGTGACCTAGTGACCTGAACTGAGGTCGCTGGGACTGAAAACTCTCAGCACGTGTGTCAAATGAATGTCCCAGGTTGTGTATGAAATTTGGTGGCGCTACGTGCCACGGTGTACCTATACGCTAGGTATTAACCCACGCCCTGCTTGGGGTCCTGGATTCCCACGCCCTGCTGGGGGGGGGGGGGGTCTTTGAACACACCTTCCCCCCCCCCCTTCTAACTCGGCTCCTGGGCCACGAAGCGATACGGGAAAGGCGGCGTTCGATTCTTTTGCCAGGCCGTGTTCCTCTCGTCAAGACGCGTCGAATGAATTATCACTTGACCTTGAAAGTCAACTTGAAAATTTGACCCCAGGTCAAGGTATTGACCTGACTGGTAAGGGTCAAGTTGCATATCAGTCGATCCGTATCGTCGAGCCAAACACAACTAATGTGTTTTCGTGGTATGACAGTTTGACGTTTGTGAAAACGTCGTTATTTATTCACACACATAATGTGTTTTCATCACTCTAGCATGCCCCTATCAAAAGTTATTCGCGAAAAACAATGTGTTTTCATCACTCTAGCATGCCCCTATCAAAAGTTATTCGCGAAAAACAGTCAGATAGGTACCATTGGTGACCTAAGATGACCTCAGGGGCATAATAAGGGGTCACGGGTGCCATTTTCATGTTCAGTTTGTCAATGATACTAGTAATTCAGTGTTTTAGAGTGTTTATAATGACTTCCGTCTAAAAAAGGGACTTTCAAATTTGTCCCATTGACTTATAATGAGGAGGTCGCAAAATTGAGCTGACCTTAGGTCATCGATATCAAATGTCAAAGATATACATTTTGTACATAATATTGTTCTTATCAATCTCTGAAAGTTTCAAAGCGATCGGTCACTTGGTGTAGCTTTGGCAGACATTGGAACTTTTGATGTAGTGAGGTCACTTGAATTGACCTGGTGACCTGACCTTAAGTGACCTGGGTCTAAAATTTTCACAACATATATAGAAAAATGTATGATAAGGTTCGCGAAATTCGCGAAAAAACAGCAGGGCGCGGGTTAACGAACAACTTTGTTATTCTGTTGCCGCTAAACAAGTTCAATTTTACCCTGACCTTGTACCTATTTTTTGTGACCTGGTGACCTGACCTGAAATGCCCGAGACCTGAAATTTTCAGGGAAGGTGTCAAAAGGTTGCCCCAGACCCAGAGGGAATGCCATATTTGGCGGCATTCGCGAATACCTTAGGGGGTTGCATGCAATTGCATCAACTCTCCCTTGACTGGGCGAGGGTTATTGAATTATTTTATGATCTCGTTATTTATTCCCAAAATGATTATCTGGCCTTTATGCTTTCTATTGATACTGCAGAATCGGGGAAAGTTTGAGCTGAGGCCTGAGCTGAGCTACCTAGTGGACACTTCTGAGTTCTGACTGTCAGCTATTTGAGGAGTGAGCACGTGTCTATTACACATAGAAGCAAAGTAATCTTGGAGATATGTACACAGGCCAAATGCTAAAGCATCATCAAAAGTGGTCTATCTTCAGCAGTTTCTGGGTCTACTGCAGAAATGCTGCAAGCAGTCTCACTTCTCATCATTACAGGCCAGACTCATGCTTCTTTCACTTTGCAGTTCAGCAGTCTAATTGATCTCAGTCCACAGATACAATGTTTAGTCATTCTGTCTGGTGTCTTACTAACCAGGTTGCAGATGGCAGTTGGCACACTAGCCCAAGTCATTACATCCAGCTTCATGGAGCTACAAAGCACAGAAGCTCTGATCACTGTCAAATGTCAATCTCCCTGCATGGTAGATTGACTGGGGAGAGGGAACACATGGCAAGCAAGACACACCAGTTGGGGAGGATAGATGGATGCATTGTTTTGGTAGTAACTACCTATAACCTATGTGGCTATTTTTTAACTTGCAAAAGACCTCTGTGAAAATAGGCACCCCACCTTTAAGGCTAGAATGCAAAGGATGGTGGGCTCAACTAGATATTGTCTGTGCAGAGCCAGAGGCCCTCAGTAACAGGTGCAGCATCAACAATTTACAGTGGTGTGGTGCAAATTTTGCATTGAGCTGTGTGGATCAACTGTAGCACCATGGTGCACTACTGTGATGGAGCATCATTAACCAGGAAAATGGTGAGCAGCAAACACAATTTGATCAGCTGGGGAGGAAAATCAACCATTCATTGCATCTTTTTTCAGCAGAAGTGCAGTTCTCTGAAAAGAACTGAAAACTCTGCATCTTATTTGGTGTAGGCTGGTGCAAAGTTTCAGCCCAGATTGCATAATGTGTATGCTGGTGCAGAATCAGATCAGCCACTTGTCACTCTGGAATCTGGATGTTGCCAGGTGCAGTTGTCAATATATTTTGCAGAATGCAAACAATCCTGTTATAGCTGCCTGTAGGTAAGCACATTTGTACAGAATCCAAATGGTCACCTTTGGAGACCATGGCACACAAGTTAAAGAAACAACTTGATAAAGTACCTAATGTGCAGTTTCAGTAGTGGTCATGCTTTGCAAATGCATTTGCAAATATTTTCATTTTCTAGTGGAGTACAAAATCCCTAGTGCATCCTGGTAGCTACCAGAAACTCACGACTTTTCCAACCTTGCCTACAATGAAACCTGGCATGTCTCGTCCTCCTTGTAATTACAAGTTTATCTTTTGCTGCATGCTCCTGGAGGCTGGATCACTTCAACTTCGTATTTAAAAATTGTCAGTCAAAGCCATCTGTTGAGATTGGTAAAACCAAACCTTGGGTAAAACCAAGATTCTTACAGATAGGTAAAACCACACATTACTTCAGCGGTGGTCTGTACATCACTAACCCCGTACAGTCAATGCAGGAATGCATACCAATTTGACTAAAAAGTCGAGAGAAAGATTTATACTCACGATCTCTGCAGTGGTGCCAGGCGTCTTTCCGCAAGAGCAAGGCCGTATCACAATTCCACAGCCTTTTCCTCCTTCGCCTTTTTGTTTTCCTCAAGGCTCAAGGCTCATTCCAGCTCAATCAAGGCAGGGCTCAAGGCTTCAGAATCAAGCAAACACTTTTTTCACACCCTCCGTGTTCCTTCAGAAATGCAGCAAGTGCGCAGGTTCGCAGAGTGAGCAAATTGAGCTGTTTTAAGCCAATCAAAACATGTAACGGAAGTTGGCACAGATTCAGCACAGCTTCAGCACAGCACAGATTCGGTAGGGGGAAAAAAGGCCCCGGTAGAGGGAAACCTTTATGACCCGTTTTCCCCTAGAAATGACGTCACAAAGAGGTTAAAATGGGTATCAATCGAAAGCTCTCGTTTACCCAGACACAGTCCTGCAGGAAAATTCCACTTTTTCCCAATAGGAAAGTTTTTACGGGAAAATCAAAATTTTGGGTCAATGGGGGGTCCCCCCCGATTTCGTTCAAAATCGGCACACAGGTGCCCCACCACCAGCCGAGAAACTTTCCCCAAAATGGTCCCCGTTGCATTGACGTTTAAGGCCCTTAAAGCCCCGTAAACTCGTAAAAAATCCGTAAATTCGCCCTTGTACGGCCAAAAACGGGGCGCTAGGGTAAAAATGGGTATCAATCGAAAGCTCTCGTTTACCCAGACACAGTCCTGCAGGAAAATTCCACTTTTTCCCCATAGGAAAGTTTTTACGGGAAAATCAAAATTTCGGGTCAATGGGGGGTCCCCCCCGATTTCGTTCAAAATCGGCACACAGGTGCCCCACCACCAGCCGAGAAACTTTCCCCAAAACGGTCCCCGTTGCATTGACGTTTAAGGCCCGTAAAACCCCCTAGACTCGTAAAATATCCGTAAAATCGCCTTTGTACGGACAAAAAAGTGGTGCTATGGTAAAAATGGGTATCAATCGAAAGCTCTCGTTTACCCAGACACAGTCCTGCAGGAAAATTCCACTTTTTTCCCATAGGAAAGTTTTTACGGGAAAATCAAAATTTTGGGTCAATGGGGGGTCCCCCCCGATTTCGTTCAAAATCGGCACACAGGTGCCCCACCACCAGCCGAGAAACTTTCCCCAAAACGGTCCCCGTTGCATTGACGTTTAAGGCCCTTAAAGCCCCGTAAACTCGTAAAAAATCCGTAAATTCGCCCTTGTACGGCCAAAAACGGGGCGCTAGGGTAAAAATGGGTATCAATCGAAAGCTCTCGTTTACCCAGACATAGTCCTGCAGGAAAATTCCACTTTTTCCCCATAGGAAAGTTTTTACGGGAAAATCAAAATTTCGGGTCAATGGGGGGTCCCCCCCGATTTCGTTCAAAATCGGCACACAGGTGCCCCACCACCAGCCGAGAAACTTTCCCCAAAACGGTCCCCGTTGCATTGACGTTTAAGGCCCGTAAAGCCCCCTAGACTCGTAAAATATCCGTAAAATCGCCTTTGTACGGACAAAAAAGTGGTGCTATGGTAAAAATGGGTAGCAATCGAAAGCTCTCGTTTACCCAGACACAGTCCTGCAGGAAAATTCCACTTTTTTCCCATAGGAAAGTTTTTACGGGAAAATCAAAATTTTGGGTCAATGGGGGTCCCCCCCGATTTCGTTCAAAATCGGCACACAGGTGCCCTACCACCAGCCGAGAAACTTTCCCCAAAACGGTCCCCGTTGCATTGACGTTTAAGGCCCTTAAAGCCCCGTAAACTCGTAAAAAATCCGTAAATTCGCCCTTGTACGGCCAAAAACGGGGCGCTAGGGTAAAAATGGGTATCAATCGAAAGCTCTCGTTTACCCAGACACAGTCCTGCAGGAAAATTCCACTTTTTCCCCATAGGAAAGTTTTTACGGGAAAATCAAAATTTCGGGTCAATGGGGGGTCCCCCCGATTTCTTTCAAAATCGGCACACAGGTGCCCCACCACCAGCCGAGAAACTTTCCCCAAAACGGTCCCCGTTGCATTGACGTTTAAGGCCCTTAAAGCCCCGTAAACTCGTAAAAAGTCCGTAAATTCGCCCTTGTACGGCCAAAAACGGGGCGCTAGGGTAAAAATGGGTATCAATCAAAAGCTCTCGTTTACCCAGACACAGTCCTGCAGAAAAATTCCACTTTTTCCCCATAGGAAAGTTTTTACGGGAAAATCAAAATTTTGGGTCAATGGGGGGTCCCCCCCGATTTCGTTCAAAATCGGCACACAGGTGCCCCACCACCAGCCGAGAAACTTTCCCCAAAACGGTCCCCGTTGCATTGACGTTTAAGGCCCGTAAAACCCCCTAGACTCGTAAAATATCCGTAAAATCGCCTTTGTACGGACAAAAAAGTGGTGCTATGGTAAAAATGGGTATCAATCGAAAGCTCTCGTTTACCCAGACACAGTCCTGCAGGAAAATTCCACTTTTTTTCCCATAGGAAAGTTTTTACGGGAAAATCAAAATTTTGGGTCAATGGGGGGTCCCCCCGATTTCGTTCAAAATCGGCACACAGGTGCCCCACCACCAGCCGAGAAACTTTCCCCAAAACGGTCCCCGTTGCATTGACGTTTAAGGCCCTTAAAGCCCCGTAAACTCGTAAAAAATCCGTAAATTCGCCCTTGTACGGCCAAAAACGGGGCGCTAGGGTAAAAATGGGTATCAATCGAAAGCTCTCGTTTACCCAGACACAGTCCTGCAGGAAAATTCCACTTTTTTTCCCATAGGAAAGGTTTTACGGGAATATCAAAATTTTGGGTCAATTGGGGGTCCCCCCCGATTTCGTTCAAAATCGGCACACAGGTGGCCCACCACCAGCCGAGAAACTTTCCCCAAAACGGTCCCCGTTGCATTGACGTTTAAGGCCCTTAAAGCCCCGTAAACTCGTAAAAAATCCGTAAATTCGCCCTTGTACGGCCAAAAACGGGGCGCTAGGGTAAAAATGGGTATCAATCGAAAGCTCTTGTTTACCCAGACACAGTCCTGCAGGAAAATTCCACTTTTTCCCCATAGGAAAGTTTTTACGGGAAAATCAAAATTTCGGGTCAATGGGGGGTCTCCCCGATTTCGTTCAAAATCGGCACACAGGTGCCCCACCACCAGCCGAGAAACTTTCCCCAAAACGGTCCCCGTTGCATTGACGTTTAAGGCCCGTAAAGCCCCCTAGACTCGTAAAATATCCGTAAAATCGCCTTTGTACGAACAAAAAAGTGGTGCTATGGTAAAAATGGGTATCAATCGAAAGCTCTTGTTTACCCAGACACAGTCCTGCAGGAAAATTCCACTTTTTTCCCATAGGAAAGTTTTTACGGGAAAATCAAAATTTTGGGTCAATTGGGGGTCCCCCCCGATTTCGTTCAAAATCGGCACACAGGTGCCCCACCACCAGCCGAGAAACTTTCCCCAAAACGGTCCCGTTGCATTGACGTTTAAGGCCCTTAAAGCCCCGTAAACTCGTAAAAAGTCCGTAAATTCGCCCTTGTACGGCCAAAAACGGGGCGCTAGGGTAAAAATGGGTATCAATCGAAAGCTCTCGTTTACCCAGACACAGTCCTGCAGAAAAATTCCACTTTTTCCCCATAGGAAAGTTTTTACGGGAAAATCAAAATTTTGGGTCAATGGGGGGTCCCCCCGATTTCGTTCAAAATCGGCACACAGGTGCCCCACCACCAGCCGAGAAACTTTCCCCAAAACGGTCCCCGTTGCATTGACGTTTAAGGCCCGTAAAACCCCCTAGACTCGTAAAATATCCGTAAAATCGCCTTTGTACGGACAAAAAAGTGGTGCTATGGTAAAAATGGGTATCAATCGAAAGCTCTCGTTTACCCAGACACAGTCCTGCAGGAAAATTCCACTTTTTTCCCATAGGAAAGTTTTTACGGGAAAATCAAAATTTTGGGTCAATGGGGGGTCCCCCCGATTTCGTTCAAAATCGGCACACAGGTGCCCCACCACCAGCCGAGAAACTTTCCCCAAAACGGTCCCCGTTGCATTGACGTTTAAGGCCCTTAAAGCCCCGTAAACTCGTAAAAAATCCGTAAATTCGCCCTTGTACGGCCAAAAACGGGGCGCTAGGGTAAAAATGGGTATCAATCGAAAGCTCTCGTTTACCCAGACACAGTCCTGCAGGAAAATTCCACTTTTTTCCCATAGGAAAGTTTTTACGGGAAAATCAAAATTTTGGGTCAATGGGGGGTCCCCCCCGATTTCGTTCAAAATCGGCACACAGGTGCCCCACCACCAGCCGAGAAACTTTCCCCAAAACGGTCCCCGTTGCATTGACGTTTAAGGCCCTTAAAGCCCCGTAAACTCGTAAAAAATCCGTAAATTCGCCCTTGTACGGCCAAAAACGGGGCGCTAGGGTAAAAATGGGTATCAATCGAAAGCTCTCGTTTACCCAGACACATTCCTGCAGGAAAATTCCACTTTTTCCCCATAGGAAAGTTTTTACGGGAAAATCAAAATTTCGGGTCAATGGGGGGTCCCCCCGATTTCGTTCAAAATCGGCACACAGGTGCCCCACCACCAGCCGAGAAACTTTCCCCAAAACGGTCCCCGTTGCATTGACGTTTAAGGCCCTTAAAGCCCCGTAAACTCGTAAAAAATCCGTAAATTCGCCCTTGTACGGCCAAAAACGGGGCGCTAAAGTAAAAATGGGTATCAATCGAAAGCTCTCGTTTACCCAGACACAGTCCTGCAGGAAAATTTCACTTTTTCCCCATAGGAAAGTTTTTATTTTCCCGTAAAAACTTTCCTATGGGGAAAAAGTGAAATTTTCCTGCAGGACTGTGTCTGGGTAAACGAGAGCTTTCGATTGATACCCATTTTTACCATAGCACCACTTTTTTGTCCGTACAAAGGCGATTTTACGGATATTTTACGAGTCTAGGGGGCTTTACGGGCCTTAAACGTCAATGCAACGGGGACCGTTTTGGGGAAAGTTTCTCGGCTGGTGGTGGGGCACCTGTGTGCCGATTGTACGAAATCGGGGGGGGACCCCCCATCGACCCAAAATTTTGATTTTCCCTTAAAAACTTTCCTATGGGGAAAAAGTGGAATTTTCCTGCAGGACTGTGTCTGGGTAAACGAGAGCTTTCGATTGATACCCATTTTTACCCTAGCGCCCCGTTTTTGGCCGTACAAGGGCGAATTTACGGATTTTTTACGAGTTTACGGGGCTTTAAGGGCCTTAAACGTCAATGCAACGGGGACCGTTTTGGGGAAAGTTTCTCGGCTGGTGGTGGGGCACCTGTGTGCCGATTTTGAACGAAATCGGGGGGGACCCCCCATTGACCCGAAATTTTGATTTTCCCGTAAAAACTTTCCTATGGGGGAAAAAGTGGAATTTTCCTGCAGGACTGTGTCTGGGTAAACGAGAGCTTTCGTTTGATGCCCATTTTCACCATAGCGCCCCGTTTTTGGCCGTACAAGGGCGAATTTACGGATTTTTTACGAGTTTACGGGGCTTTAAGGGCCTTAAACGTCAATGCAACGGGGACCGTTTTGGGGAAAGTTTCTCGGCTGGTGGTGGGGCACCTGTGTGCCGATTTTGAACGAAATCGGGGGGACCCCCATTGACCCAAAATTTTGATTTTCCCGTAAAAACTTTCCTATGGGAAAAAAGTGGAATTTTCCTGCAGGACTGTGTCTGGGTAAACGAGAGCTTTCGATTGATTCCCATTTTTACCATAGCACCACTTTTTTGTCCGTACAAAGGCGATTTTACGGATATTTTACGAGTCTAGGGGGCTTTACGGGCCTTAAACGTCAATGCAACGGGGACCGTTTTGGGGAAAGTTTCTCGGCTGGTGGTGGGGCACCTGTGTGCCGATTTTGAACGAAATCGGGGGGGGGACCCCCCATTGACCCAAAATTTTGATTTTCCCGTAAAAACTTTCCTATGGGGAAAAAGTGGAATTTTCCTGCAGGACTGTGTCTGGGTAAACGAGAGCTTTCGATTGATACCCATTTTCACCATAGCGCCCCGTTTTTGGCCGTACAAGGGCGAATTTACGGATTTTTTACGAGTTTACGGGGCTTTAAGGGCCTTAAACGTCAATGCAACGGGGACCGTTTTGGGGAAAGTTTCTCGGCTGGTGGTGGGGCACCTGTGTGCCGATTTTGAACGAAATCGGGGGGGACCCCCCATTGACCCAAAATTTTGATTTTCCCGTAAAAACTTTCCTATGGGAAAAAAGTGGAATTTTCCTGCGGGACTGTGTCTGGGTAAACGAGAGCTTTCGATTGATACCCATTTTTACCTCTTTGTGACGTCATTTCTAGGGGAAAACGGGTCATAAAGGTTTCCCTCTACCGGGGCCTTTTTTCCCCCTACCGAATCTGTGCTGTGCTGAATCTGTGCTGAATCTGTGCCAACTTCCGTTACATAATCAAAACACACTTTTGTAGGATGTCATCATGAAACACAGCGAATAATTGGTTGCTTTTGCAAACTGAAGTATTTATCAAAGCTATTAAATACACAATTACAGCTTGTTGACTCTTGAATGGTGATTTGCGTGAGATCACAAATGTGTCACAAATCAGTGAAAAGTCACAAATCTGTAAAGTCACAGTGAAATCAGTGACTTTACAGATACTTACAGATACTGTTGTTAGGTAGGTAGGCACCTGCGTATTTTATTAAATTTCTTGAAAGTGTGGTGTTTTTTGCAAACGTCTATTTCATTTGCAAATTTGCAAATTTGCAAATTTTTGATTTGCAAATTTTATGGCTAATGACGGTCAAGGTGCATTTTACGATGCAGGTACCAATTTTGTACTTTTTGTAGAATAAATTTGAAATATCTAGGTATGACGGGTGCAATAATTCATGGTTATGCAGCTAAGGCAGAAGGTTCGATTATTGTTTTGTGTGAAAAATATTGGCCTTTTGACTTTTACTTATCCCTATGCAGGCTGGTGCGGTTTAGGATCATAAGCCTGCGTTGTTGCGGGCTGGTGCGCCTTCATCATCATTAACCATATGCATCAGTAGCCTGTTCTGCAGGTCATTTGTCTTTGCTGTTGCTGTAGGTGCAATGACCCATTGGCCTAATTTAAGCTTTTCATTTTTGCTTTCTACTTTTAGACACCTAATCCCACATTTAGCTACTGCTCAAGTGCTCACATCCTGGCTTTTGTGATCATGCTTAATTGCTTAATGCTCACCAAGCTATGCCATTTATGATCATGCATTTCTTTTACTATAAAACGTTACCTACCTTTCTTTTTGTTACCTATAGGAGCCACTTGGGGGTGAAAAATGTCCAAGCGACCTCACGATGCGCTGGAGGTGGAGGAAGAGACTGCTGTTGATGAAAAACATGCAAAGAAGCATACTTTGGATTCTGATGAAGAAGATGAAGTCGACCACAAGAAATATAACTTGATGGATCCAGAAGAAATTGAAGGTAGATAGATACTTTGTTAGAAGGAAGATATTAACTTACAAATGCTTTGCATGTATAGGGACTATCTTAAATCTTTTCATATTCACTTGGTGTTCTTTCATTTTTAGATTTGATATTTATACACATAGAAGAAGTTTTATGCAGTTAGACTTGTGTCAGTTGTTACATCCTAAATCACAATTTCATCTTTCATCACAATTTGATCAACAGTCATGCCCGATTCGGCCGAGCCCCGCGCGAGTATCCAACGACAATGTGACGTTTAGCCTGCCTCCATGACTGGCCGTTAATGGTGTGCTTTGTTCGACATCTGACAGTGTAGCAGGATCATTGAAGATATTGCGTGCGGCTATTGGTTTCCCGAAAAGCAACCGCAGCACGCGTAGGAGCGCTTACTGTAAGAGGGCCTGAGCCCTGAACTTTTTGCGCACCCTGTACTCACACTCGACGCATCTTGCGAGCAGACTGGTGTTTGATTCACCCGTGATTCAATCGATTGGATTGCATCAAACAAAATTTGTTGAATCAAAAAGCTTTGATTCACCGTCTGGATTGTTCCATTGACAAACCATGATTGAAGCAAACGCATTGGGAATCAGAGTTGATTGAATTTAAAAAAAAAAATCATGATTCATGACTTAAGAAAATTGAGGTGAACATAGTTCATCATCAACAATGCACCTGTGCAATGCAACAATGGATCTGTTCAGATGTAAAAATGTATTGTGTTAACCCGCGCCCTGCGGGGGGGGGGGTGTTTGAACACCCCCCTTGTGGTTTTTCGCGAATATCTCAAAACGCCGCCGTTTTTGGTACACCTTATCATACATCAATTCTACACATGTTGTGAAAATTTCAGACCAAGTTCATTCAAGTTCAGGTTAGAGGTGGCAAAATGTGGACCCGAGGACCCGGTCCAAAGAACCAGTCTGGACCCATATGGGTCCAGACCGGTTCCTGGAAATTTCTGACGGGTCCAACCGGGTCCTACCATAACTATACATCTTGCGCACTACACATTATTGCAAAATATGAAGTGAATGTTTCTTTGCACACAGTAGCTCATGAGTATTCCCAGTGGGAAATAGGCTGTTTTACATGATGCAACTAATGATACCTACAAGCAGTTTGTATTAATTGACTTTTGGGGAACGGGTCCAACTGGTTCCGATTCCAACTAAGACCGGGTCCGACTGGTTCCAGAAATGTCCAGCCGGGTCTGGTTCGAGTCTGGTTCCCAAAATTTTCATCTTTTGCCACCTCTAGTTCAGGTCACCAGGTCACTTGAAGTGACCTCACCTCATAAAAAGTTTCAATGTCTGCCATTGCTACACCGAGTGACCGATCGCTTTGAAACTTTCAGCGATTGATAAGGGTAACAGTATCTATAAAATGTTTATCTCAGAATTTTGATATCGGTGACCTAAGGTCAGGTCAATTTTGCGACCTCCCCATTACCTATAAGTCAATGGGAGAAAATTGAAATGCGCCTCTTTTGGGCGAAAGACATTATAAACACTCCCAAACACCGAATTACAAGTGGTTTAAACACACTGAACATGAAAATGGTGTCCGTGACACATATTTATGCCCCTGAGGTCATCTCAGGTCACGAATGGTGTCTAACAGTTTTTTTTCGCAAATAACTTTTGATAGAGGCATGCTATAGCGGTGAAAACGTCTTAGATGTGTTCAGCTCGACGATACGGATCGACTGATATGCAACATGACCTTTTCCGGTCAGGTCATGACCTTGACCTGAGGTCAAATTTTCAAGTTGACCTTTCAAGGTCAAGTTATAGTTCATTCGATGCGTCCTGACGAGAGGAACACGATGCCGGTAAAAGTAAGCTCGTACAAGGCTTGGGTCCAAAATTATTGCAGAAAAACTTTCCGAAAAAATCGGCTATTTTTGCAGTTTTTGCCCCCTGCAGACACAACCGTTGACGTTAGGTCAAATCTGAGAGAATTACTCAGAAAGGGCGTTAATAGGGCTATCGAATGCGCTTTTCCGCGGCGCTTTAGCTCTATTGGTTCCCGAGTTATGCGTTGGCTTCCTGGAAATTGTCGACATTCGACCTGAAAATCGGCAAAATTTTGCCATCAATGACCTCTGGTGACCTGACCTTTGACCTAACCAAAAAAGTGACCGAAGTTATTTCGTCATTATTTTTGGCGCTCTTTCGAACGCCGCCTTCCGCGTATCGCTACGTGGCCCAGGAGCCGAGTTAGAAGGGGGGTGTTCAAACACCCCCCCCCCCAGCAGGGCGTGGAAATCCAGGACCCCCAGCCGGGCGCGGGTTAAAATGACGGCCAAAATATTGGTTTGCTATTTTTTGACCGAATCGAAAAAAGAATTGTTCAATAACTTTTTTGCTGAATCAAACGTGAATTGTTCCATTTTCTGTTTTTTTTTTTTTATTCTTTGAATCGAAAGGAATCGATTCGCCAATTTTTTTTTAAGGAATCAAACGGTGATTGAATAAAAAAAAATCAAATGAAAATCAATCAGTGATTGAATTGATCCAAAAAAGGTGAACCAATAACCAGTCTGCTTGCTAGCGTCATCTTTAACCCATACCTATCCAGAAACATAAATTCCTGAACAAAAAATATCAAATAATTTTGACTTCAAGTGACGCATGGTGCATGACCCTGTAAGTGGCTTACAAGTGACGTAACCTTTTAACACAGGTGAGGAAGAGGGTACCATCACGAAAGACGGAGACATACAGATCACACCATTCAACATGAAAGAAGAAATGACTGAGGGCCACTTTGATGCAGAAGGCAATTATTATTGGAAGAAAGAAGTAGAAATTCGCGACGCCTGGCTCGACAATATCGACGATACAAAAGTGAGTAACGTAAGAAAATTGCTTTTGTCGTCTGCTGTCGGGTAGCTTTTACTGTTCGGTAGAATGCAACAAGGGAGAGCTTTAGGCGCCCGACTAGTGGGTGATGACTCACTGGCTGGTTCGAGGCCGGAAGAATGCAAGTTTTCTGGCACACTTAACTATTCATTCCAGCTGCTGCTAGCAGGAGTGGATAATTGTGCCGAGTTGGGGTAGTACGAGCTTTCCCAATTCCACGCCGGCTTGGCTTTAGAGCCGCAACAGACGGCGGAGGTCAAGGTCACCGCTAGGGCGGCGGCGGATTTGCTGCGCCCGTGCTACCCCAACCCAGCACATTTGTCCACCCCTGGCTGCTAGCAACTGGCGAGAGAAGACCACGCTAAACTAGGAGTGTCATGTCGCCATCTACCTGTGATACGTTAAACTCAAGCCTTAAAAGCTTACCGGTGAACCTGGTTTGGGCGATGTAGTCGGGTGGACGGGGTAGTGGTGCTGCGCAACGACAAGCTGTTGTAGGGGGCATCCGGACTTGTTACCACTCATTTAGCCTTTGGAACTGAGATTAAAAGACGTCCATCACAATGTAAAGGGGCGACTGCATCTAATTTCCAGGCAACGATCACTCAAAGAGTCCGGCGAGATCTTATGAGACTAATCCATTATTGCCGATAATGTTTAATGTACCTAACAGAACAAAGTGCTGTGAATGAGTTCAACTTAGGTGTGGTGTTTTTCACTTAGATGCATCGACTGATCCATATGACCCATTTAGGTCCGGCCAGTAGCGCTCTTGCCCGTCTGAGCGGGCCACGATGTGCTGTGTCATTTGTGGGTCGTGACCTTTGTTGACCCCTTAAGGTCAAATGGTTTTGAGTGTCGCCAAATGGTTTGGGCTGCGTATTTCTTGCCACCAGGACTCTGGTATTTGTGAGTTTCAAGTTAATCCGAGGCTTATCGAATCTAGGCTGATACCTGCGATCTGGGTAGCTGTACCTAATGAATTCTGCGATAGCTGGTTAAATAGCAGGCAGCTACTGCGTGGTCTCTCCGACGCTCAACGCCCGGCCATATTTCAGCAACACTTTGACCCGCGCGCGAAGGCCGGCTCGGATGACGACGACGACGGCTCGTCGGACGGCGAGCTGGAGTCGGTGAAGGACTCGGACCGGGCCGCCACCTACGAGCAGATGCTCGAACTGATGCAGCCGAAGGAGACGGTCGCCAGGGCCCTCCGGCGCCTCGGTGAGCAGTGAGCACAGACCGTCCACGTCAGGTCACCGGCTTTAAGGCGAAAGGCCGAATGTTGTGATTGGTAGACGATAATTGTTGATAAAGTGTTTTCAGCAAAATGTTATTCGCCTTGTTTATTGGTTGGTGTGGCAGGGCGCACCAGCAACGGGGCTATGTCGCTGTGTTCTTTGTATTATTACGAGGAGTATAGCTGATTTGAATCATGCATTTGCGTTTCACTAATTCATTCCTTGTGATTCGACTGCGCCAGGTGGCAACAAGGCCCGTCACTCGGCGTCGGCGCGCTGGAAACAGAAGCGGGCAGCCGCGGCGTCTGGCAGCGCCGAGCCGGACAAGGCGGCTGATGACCGTCAGAGCATGGAGCGCCTGACCGGCCTGGCCGACCGGCTGCTCAGCCAGGGCAACATGGAGGTCTACCAGATGACGCGCGAGGCCGTCAACCACCAGGTAGTCCGCGCCGCGGCAGCTCGTGGGGACACGTCTGTGACCGTGATCGGATGACATGGGATGGTTCGGTTGGTTACATAAGGGTTTTTTCATTATTGATCCATATTCTGTAGTTATTTCACGACAATTGGTATTCAGTGTCACTGCAGTTCAAACATGTAGCTGACAGTGGCTGTACTATAACTCCGGTTGACTCGACTCAGCGGACCCTGGCTCCCCTTCCTGACCTCTCTCCTGCTCGTATGTAGGTGCCCGATCCTAGCCGACCTTACGCCTGAGCACTGACGCACCTGCCCGACCCGCTATTTTTCCTGGTCCCTGACGCACCCCCGGTCCGGTATTGTGGCCTGGTCCCTGACTCCGCCATGGTCCGCTCCCAGCTGGAGCAGCTGCGGAAGCCGGTGGCGGACCGGCTGCAGGGCGCCACCGATGACGACGCGCTGGACATGTTCGCCGACTCGCTGGACCAGCAGCCGGCGGCGGCGGGCGACGGCCGGCCGGCAGTGGGTGGAGCGGACGGCGGCGGGGCGGCCGACAGCCACGGACAGAAGGACGGCGCCGGACAGACAGACGACGCCGCGAAACCGGCGCCAGACGCTAATGGCGCGGCAGAGACGGCCGACTCGGCGGCACTAGGTGAGTCGCACCCCTCAGTGCCATTTGATTGGTGCTTTGCTTGAAAATAGATTCCAGTGAAAGTCCCCGTATCACTGCCACTTATTATCTATCGACTGTGCTGCTATTTTTTAACATGTGGCAGCAGTGGTTGGGGATGCTAGAGCAATTTCCCTGCCTCTCAGAAAAGTGGAGGGATCTTGTGCCTGATCTTGTATTTTGTGTCGCCTCTTTTTGGTCGAGGCCTTTCATTGGCGGTAAGCCGTGTAGCGGGAAGTTATTGAGCTGGAGCCTTTCTAATAAGATACCCTCCTGGCTTTTGATGAGAAACCATGAGTCCAATATCTGTATCTCCGAGGCTCAGATCTCTTTAAGTGTTAGTGGAGGTAGGAGAGAACAGCTTCTTGGGCCGACCTATCCTACTCGCTAAAAAACTCGACTCGCGTTGATGCTGAAATCTGTGCGGCGTGTTACAGACGCCGGCGACGCCGTCACGTGGGAGTTCAAATGGGAGGACAGTGCCGACGCCGAGATCCACGGACCGCACACCTCCGCCGAGATGCACGCCTGGAGCGAGAGCGGCTACTTCAGCGACGCCGTGCTCGTCCGAAAGGTCGGCGCCACCGCCTTCTATCAGGTCAAGCGCGTCGATTTTGAGATCTACATGTAGTGGCAGTGCGGTCCCGTGCTGTGTGCTGTGCTGGTGCTGAAGTGATGCCCTGTGGCAAGCAGAAATATTGCTTGCTGTATCCCGATGATTAAAATTTGGACGGCAGTGTATGTTTTGTTTCCTGCTGCTCCAAACGGAGTGTGCATAGCGTGTTGTGCGCCTAAGGTTTCCGCTGTCATTTTTCATCACATCGCTAACAGGAGATAGCGCACGATCCATTCTAAATAAAGCTCATTTGTCCTTTTTGTGCTTTGAAGCAAGTAAAAATTAGACAAGTGAAAATTGAACAAAGGTCTTGTAGTGTCTATGCCAGGACTACTTATTGTTTTGGCTCATTGCTCAAAAGTCTGCGCGTAGCTTAATCGGTAGAAAGTTGGATTCCCAGTACCGTGGTGGGCTATTTTAGGCAGTGGGGCTATCTGAGACAGCATGTTACAATCGCTATACAACGAAAACCGTTCGATAGTTTTGGTCGTGTTTGCTCAGGCTGGTATGGAATCGCGCGGTGTATTGCCTGAGCTAAAAATGAAAAAAAAAGATATCAGACGGTTTTCATTTTATAGCGACTTTAACCCTCGCCGGCACAGGGGGGTTGATGCAACGCCCAGGATTTTTTCGCTAATAACTCGCGTAAAAAGCGGCCGATCGCGACGAAACTTTCAGTATCCTTGCGTTGATTAATTTTCACCTATCCTGAAAATTTCATGACCCTGACCCAAATAACCTTTGACCTGTGACCTATTTTTCCGAGACCATGTTTGGCCGGAATCGCGATTCGGCGTATGTCGGCTCGCATTAGCCGCGCGTTTGCAGTCTTTTCGTGGTTCCAAGCGTTCAAATATGTGATTTGATGTTGCTCCCTTGCATTAGGGTGGATGTCAAGGTCACCTGAAGGTCAGGTCATTGACCTTTGATGACCTCGGTTCACTTTTTCGAGTTTTACATGTTCCTATGCTAGTTTTTGGAGCTGATTTCGAATTTAGCAACCATTTGAACATTTACGAAGTAGTTTTGGTGCCTTCGTAACATGTTACAAAGCTGTCAGAGGCGGTTGACACGTACTGCGAATGCCCGGCAGGACCCCTACTGGTTGACCTGACCTGACCTGACTCGACCTGGCCTAAATGCATAAAGACATCAACTGTGATCAAAACTAACATTATATTCGTAATCGGCACCCCCCCCCCCCCAAAAAAAAAAACATAGCAGCCACGCTTTACGACGTTCTAACAGGTCCCGATTTTCCCGACTTTTGGGTCATTGACCTTACCTGGAAGGTCAACCGATGACCTAGGATCTTAAAATCGGGTATCATCGGCTTCCTCTCGTCACGGGAAATACGCCCGCTTTTCCCGCGAAGCTCTAGCTCGATCAGGGGCCAAACGCGAGGAGGGGTCGTACCAACTGTTCAGTTCCCCTCCTGGTGCCGTTTAAGGACGCAAAATGGCCTGTGCTGTCGAGGGTTAACAAACTGTCTCGAATAGCCCCAGCTTGGCCGTACCTTCTCAGGTTCGAGGTCAGGTCAAGGTCAATCAAAGGTCAAGTTATGGGGATCCTGTAAGAATTGTGACTTGTAGATGCCCTTTCTCTACCAACCTGCATTCAGAGTCCGGTGCAGATTATTGCAGATTACTTCAGAACGGTGTGAGGCTGCTTAGACTATGTACAGCGTGTCCCAGAATCGACCGAACACTGTTAATCAGCGCATAAGATAAGGGAAAAAATAATTGCACTTTTTTCTTTTTATCGTCCGACATAGCCAATAAGGGTAGCTTCGAAATGGCACATGCAATAGACACGCTAGCTAGGTACAACATTAGCCGACAATTGTAGCTAAATGCCAGACGATGCTGGCTTTAGTTGTTTTACGTTACGGGTCTCCCGAAACTGGTTGTAAGACGGTTTTCATTGACCTCTTGCCGGTGGATACTATAAATATTTTCGATTAACTTTGTATCCAAACTGTTCCCATCCCAGGCCATAAGGCATTCTCTTCCAAAACAAAGAATTCTGCCTACACCACTGTTGCGCTGTTTTTTTTGTTTTGTTTTTTACATGAAGTGGAGAACCTCCATGCCTGAACATGGCGTGACCTTTGGCTTCCAACAGATTTGGTTTCCAAAACAAACCCGTTTATGGCCATTCAGTTCACGACAACCAGTTTTTGTAATGCTGGAATATTACCGCAGTAGCAATCTGTGTTAGCGGTCGTCTTTGGGGCATCACGTGAAGCTGAATGAGCGCACCGTGGCTCAAAATGTCTCACACTTAAATTTTCGACGAGTGCCTGGCTGTCTCGGCTGTTGGGGCGTTGTCACCATCTGACGTCCACACACGACTTTTTTGTGTCGCTCCAAAGGGCAGAATACCTTCGTAAGACCACAAAGTGTGTTTCCATTCACTTTTTTGTTGCATATGTTATGATTTATGGCTGCTTTGTAGCGATTTGCGCTGTCCTTCCGTTAGTTTTGGCATATTTTTCAGATGAGGGGCCCCAAATTCCAAAATTTTGTCGAAGATAGTGGTCAAAGTAGCCTGATGATTCGTAGCTAACCCTGATCTGTCGTTTAGCTTGTTTTTGGGTAGATGGGTGGCCGGTGGCGTTTGTTGTCCATGACATGGCAACAACCCGCTTGACTGGTGCATGCTCCTTTTTGGTCGCGCCCAGGCTTGTCGATCAGGTTATCTCTTGCTCTCTCTGGCTTCGCTCGCTGATACAACTGCGGTTTGCTCACCCCTGCCTGCTTGCAAATGAGCTACTGCCTACTGGAGCTCTCCAGCAAGAACCGTGCCAAAAGTCCGTTTACGAACTTCAGAATTGCACTTTATTCACCATGATTGCCTTTTGTTTGCTGAGGCTGAAAACGAAGAGGGACTACTCTGGATTTTAACTGACTCGAGTCGTGACCGGTCACCAAAAACACACAGTCTCAAAGCTCGATAGCTAAGGTATGTCTTATAAAAGTATAATGCTCGTAGTCGTATATAATTAGAATCGAGCGCAATCGTAGTTTTAGCCACGGTGACTATAAATAGGTTTTAGCCAGGAAATAAATGTTCGGTCAATTCTGGGACACCCTGTATGTAGTGTGGTGCTCGAAAGACCGGCTTAACCGTCCCCCCCCAACACTATCGGGTGACCTCACATGGAAAGAGGTTTCTCAGATCGATTTGAAGCTCTTTTGGGGCGAGTATTGTGTCTAGGTGTCCTGCAAGCTGGGCCCCTCTCACGAAATTATAGCCGAATTCTAGCATGCTTAGCTAATCCTAGCAATCTTAAACGCATTCATGATAGTAATAACAAAATGGTAGAATAATGAACTCCCGTAGATATATGTAGGTCGGCGAGTGAATTGAGCACTTCGCGTGTCAACATTTTAACCCTCGCCGGCACAGGGGGGTTGATGCAACCCCCCCCCCCAAGGTTTTTCGCGAATAACTCGCGTAAAAAGCGGCCGATTGCGACGAAACTTTCAGTACCCTCGCATTGATCAATTTTACACGTTCCCTGAAAATTTCATGACCCTGACCCCAATGACCTTTGACCTGTGACCTCTTTTCCGTGACCATGTTTGGCCGAAATCGCGATTCGGCGGATGTCGGCTCGCATTAGCCGCGCGTTTGCAAGCTTTTCGTGGTTTCAAACGTTCAAACATGTGATTTGATGTTGCTCCCATACATTAGGGTGGGTGTCAAGGTCACCTGAAGGTCAGATCAGGTCATTGACCTTTGGTGATCTTGGGTGACCTCGGTTCACTTTTTCGAGTTTTACATGTTTCTAGGCTAGTTTTTGGAGCTGAATTCGAATTTAGCAACCATTTGAACATTTAAGAAGTAGTTTTGGTGCCTTCGTAACATGTTACGAAGCTGTCAGAGGCGGTTGACACGTATTACGAATACCCGTCACAACCCCTACCGGACGACCTGACCTGACCTGACCCGACCTGGTCTAAATGCTTAAAAACATCATCTCTGATCAAAACTAACACGATATTCGTGATCAGCATCCCGGAAAACCACTTAGCAGCCACACTTTTCGACTTTCTAACAGGTCCCGATTTTCCCGGTTTTCGGTCATTGACCTGACCTGGAAGGTCACCCAATGACCTAGGACCTTAAAATTGGCTATCATCGGCTTCCTCTCGTGGCGGGCAACACGCTCGTTTTTTCCGCGAAGCTCTACTCGATCAGGGGCCAAACGCGAGGGGGGGGGGGTCGTACCAACCCCCCCTTGTGCCGTCGAAGGACGCAAAATGGCCTCTGCCGGCGAGGGTTAAGGGTCCCCTACATTTCTAGATCTTAAATTCCTTAGCTTTGCGACTGTCAACACATTCTAAATTATTCACACATTCTGTGAATGATTTAGTCATTCTTACGCGAAAACAAGCTTATAGGTACTCGGAATATTGGGGGGGGGGGGTAGGTAGGTACTAGTGATGTCAGTTACGGAAAATCGGAATACCGATACCAAACCAAATACCAACCGAAACCGTGGAGAAATACCGAAACCAAACCAACTTGGGAACATGAGGGAAATACCAATTTTTTACCGATTTCTTAGCCTTTTATACATTAGTGGGGGTTCATGATACCAACAAAATACCAAACACATTAGGATTGAAATACCAAACACCAACTTGGTATCGGTTTGGTATCGTTATACCAAAAAGTTGGTATCCGATTGACATCTCTAGTAGGTACTGTACCCCCCCCCCCTGGTAAATTATGGGGGGTCCTGAATCCCGCGTACCCCCCTGTGGCGGAGCCCCTGATATCGAATTACCTATTAATCAACCAATTATTAACGAATTATTAACGAATTAATGATAAAATTATAACGAAATTAATAATTAACACTCACAAACAACGGGATATAGGCAAACATGGCACGCCCATGACTCGTATTTATGCCCCTGAGATCATCTCGGGCAATAAAGGTATTCAGCAGCTTTTCTTTACTTTAACTGTAGATAGGGACATGCTGGGATGATGAAAACTCCATATTTGTTCATTTGTTCAGCTAAACAATATGAATCGACTGATATATGGAGCATGGCATTTAACGTGACCTTCACCTTTGGTGAAATTTGAACCTGACCTTTTCAGCTCAACTCGTAGTTCATTCGACGCGTCTTAATGAGGTAAACGCAATGCAGGTAAAATCAACGTAATGCAAGCTTGATGTCAAAATTTGTTGCAGGAAAACGTTTTCTGCGAAAACGACAAATTTTCAGTTTTTGCCA